AAGTCTATATTAATTAATAATTCTCTAAATAAACTAATCATAAGTTTTTTATTATCAAAATAATAATGTGATTTATAGTTATTTTAAATAAAATTTAAAATCTAAAAATTCATTTTTTAATCAAAGTCGCGACAAAATGTTAAAAGTTATTCAATATATTAAATTAAATTTTAATATAAATACAATACAGTAAATGTATATTCAATAGTAATAAGACACACACAATGAGTCTCTTTTAAATATTATATGACTAAAAGTTATTTTAATTTATAAAACAATATTCAATTTAATAATTGAGTAAAAATTGAAGTGTATTATTATTAGATCAAGTGATGGAAACATCTTTTAAAAACTTTGTAGTTTTTAATCAAATATACTATTTTTATACACTATTAATTTAAATCAAAATCTAATTATTCATTAAGTTTACAATTTATATTTATTACAGTAATATTATTCATCTAAATCGGTAAATTAACTATTATTTAAAAATTTCAATAATTTTCAATATGTTTTGAGAAAAAATATTGATGTGAATATCTAATTTAGTCATAATATTTTCATGGTTATTATTATATCTTTTATAAAAACACAAATATTTTGATGTAATTCAAATGAAAATAAGGAAACATGTGTTTAAATTAAGCGATTTATCAATAATTGTATTGAAATGATATGAATATATTAATTGATTGGAAGCTTTAGTAAAGACTTTAGTGGGCTTTGAAAGGACTTCAAAGGATTCCTTATTTATTCAATTATTTAACGACAGTTGAAATGTATTGAGTCTTATGTTTAGACAGAGTTTGACACATAATAAGGAGATCTCATAAAACTAAAAAATAACTAATTTTATGAATAAAAAATATTATTCATTTTAGTTGTAATAACAGTGGGTTCTCTATTTGTTTTTTAAAAATATTAAATTCAAAACATCAAACAAATTTCAAATTTAACTAAAGTTAAATATTTAATTATTTTAAAACTGTTTTTAAACCATTTTGGATATTGTATTAGAATTTACTTAGAATTAATAATTATATTACAGTTACCTAAAACTGTTATTCATTATTATATAAATTTTTAATTTTCATTTACGATTTGTTTGTTAAATATAATAGAAATTAAATAAACATTCATCAAACCAATCCAAAACTAAAATTGTGTAACAAATTTAATCTTAAAGTTGATCACCTTAATTAATTGACGTCAAAACTGTTCAAATAATAATTTTAATGTATTTATTAAAATAAATATTATCAATTATTGCAAACAATATGATAATTACTTATATTATAGGATTACAGTATCTTATCATAGTTAATAATATACTATTATATTGAAAAATTGTTTATAAAAGTTTTGAGATTACAATTATAATACAAAAAGATTATGTAATACTAATTTAATGTATATTAAATATAATAAGTGTTAATAGATGTAAGAAATAACATAAAATAAATTTATTAATTTTTATACAATTATTAAATTAAGTATTATATACTTAAATTTTATATGAATTTCACTAATTATAAAATATAAATCTAACAAAAAACAAAACTTTTTATATTAAATAAGCCATTAGTTTATACTTTGATTAAACTAATTATAAAAATATATTCATAGACTAACAAAAAGTCTAATATAGACATCAAACCAACCTTTGATTTTAAAAAACTATTATTTTTAAAATTTAATTTTTAATTTAATTTAATTTAATTTAATTTAATTTAATTTAATTTAATTTAATTTAATTTAATTTAATTTAATTTAATTTAATTTAATTTAATTTAATTTAATTTAATTTAATTTAATTTAATTTAATTTAATTTAATTTAATTTAATTTAATTTAATTTAATTTAATAATAATAATAATAACAACTATAATAGTTTACTTTAAAAAATATATTTAATGAAATATAAGGTAATCAGTACATTGAAAATCCGGAACAATATTTTGTTGACTCATTTTTTGTATTTAAGTTTGTATGCAATGCTTTAAAAAATATTATTTTATTAATTATATTATTTGATTTGAATACATTTATATAAGTTTTATATGATATTCAACAAAAGCTAAACATAATTGAATTATCATTATCATTGTCATTGCCATTCAATTATTATTGTAAATTGCTTCAGGTTTAGACTATAATTATTATTTATATATTTTTAGATATGTTAATAATATTTTGTATAATGTTGTCAATTGATATATATTTTTATCGAAGTATTTTATTTGTGATATATATATGACTTTATATTTATTAATGTGAAAATTACAAATGAAATACTGTATATTACTGTATATTACTGTATATCTTTATATAAGGTTAATTCAATAGCATGTACTGTACTGTATATTATACTAACTTTTAAGCATTAATACTAAATTGTGTTTTTTTATTTTATATATTATAAACAACAGTCATTTATATCATATAAAATCAAATAAAAATGAATAATTCAATAAAGCAAATATTAATTTATAAACTAATTTAATTATACAATATATTAATTTTATATCTTCTTGTATTTTATCATACAGTAGTACAATACAGTACAATACAGTACAATACAGTACTATATAATTGGATAATCTTTGTTTGCATATATAGACCGTTAGAGGTATTTGTATTTAATATACAAACATTTTGAAGACAACACTTTGATGAGAAGGTTAGTACACTTACAATAAAATATGTATAAAAATTTAACCCAAAATTTGCGCACTTTTACACACAATAATAAAATTTTGTTAACTTTTTATTTAACGCACGTATTGTATGCTTATATTTGATGTAAACATATGATAAATTTAGTAATGAATTGGTATAACATTTAGTCCTAAACTTTCTCATCAAAGTATTCTCTTCAAAATATTGGTATATTTAATACAATAGCAGTCATACAGTATCTGAGATATAATAGCAATTCAAAGCATTGGAATATAGTTTAGTTTATTTATATATACATTAAATACAGTAATAATTGTATAATTATTGTTATGTTGCGAGGCTTACATCAGGTTTAGTTAATTATTGTATGATTAGTATAATGTATTATACTGTATATACTGTATATACTGTATATGTAGTATTAATTTTATGATTATATTGATGTAATGCCATCTATTGATTTCATACTTCGTGAATGTGAACCCCATTTACTCTATATAAGAGTCTATCAATTCATTTACTGATTATTAGAAAAATGGACACAAAATCACTAAAAGAAAATTGTGTGGATTGTGGGCGATATGTATTGTATATAATCAGAGATTTTTTTATTTGAAATAAAGGAAATGTCGTTTAAATGATTGAGTGGGTGTCATGACTTGGGTTTTAAAACTTAATCTAATTATATTCATTTAAAGCATTTTTTATAAACTTATATAAATTTAATTTAATTTTAGAAGTGGTTTAGTTAATACAGTTAATATAGTATTTTCATTGCGCTCTAATAAGCAATTTTAAACACACATTTAAAACTTTCATTATATTATTTAAAAATTTATTAAATATTTTACTTTAAAACTAGTTTACTTTATTTATTTTGTTTTCAAAAATTTAATAACTACAAAATATCGCTAAATCTAATTTAAACTTAAAAAATTAAATTGTAAATAAAATTATTTATAATATCTATAAAAACATTTTTATTATAGAAAATTATGAATTGTAAGCTTGTTAAAAATATAATAATATAATCACGCGATAAAATCTAATTAAATATCATAAATAAATTCAATATAAACCTAACCACTAAACACCCACTTATTTACCTTAAAAGCAAAAACATTTGAAAATCTATTGTATAATTTATTTATCAAATACAATACATATAATCTTAATACTTAATACAATTTATATTACATAGTATTAATATATAATCTATCAAATGCATAGTTGTTATGTTAAATACTGAATGTATGAAACAAATAATAAGTTATAAATCTTTATGTAAAATATGTTACGTAAAATAATTGTCATGTTATGCCAAGTAAATAATATTTTAATAAAAAATAGAGTTTTATATTTCTTAGTTATTTATTTTTAAAAATATTTGATATTATAATTAAAAAATTATTTTCATTGATTAATAAAGTTAATAAATACTGTATTAATATATTTTTTTGATTTTGTTTAAGTCTAAAATCTATGTATATTTTTGACTTCTATTTTAGGAAAATATTTAAATTGAGATAAAATCCCAAAAGAATTTTAAAGTTATGTAAGATTTTTTTGGAAATAAAATGATGAGATAATGCATTAGTAAGTGTAGTATTCATTTGCAAAATACAATACAATAACATTCAAATGGATTACATAGTTTGATCAGTAATGTCGTGTTATCCCATTTCGCCTATTTTGTGTTAACTGTTACAATATTATATGAAATAATAACAACAATTTATTAATTAACAATTATTATTATAGTTTAATAAATTATGACTCATAAATTAATTTGTAGCATTATTAATGAATGTTGTTTCATAATTAAAAATTAAATGTTTGCTAAGAAATAAATATTTTTAAATTAAAATTATGATAAAAATAATATAAGTGATGGTAAATTAACTTTTAACTCTATATAAGTTTATAGTAACTTGTTATATTCTTAAATTATAGTTTAATTTTTAATCTACTTTTTATATATGTTTATATATAATATACTAAATTACTGTATATAATGTAATTAGTGACACAAGAGATTTGAATCATATAACAAACAATATATATTAGGTTAGATGGGATAACATTGATTGCATAAAACAAGAAGATTAAACAGCAATATTATCTGTTAAGTGCATAAAATTTTACAATATTCAATGCAATATAAAAAATAATCAATAAATTTGATAAAACATTTTTTTATCAAAACTAATGCATATTTTCTCATAGTTTTTCTATATATAGCATTCTCATAGTTTTTCTCATAAGTTCTTTATTATATTATTAAAATAATTTTTTATGTCTATCTAATTATTCAAATTAATAATTAATAAAACAAACAATATGTTAACAAAAATTTTATTTTTAAGTGCTTTATATAGTATAACGTTGGCTGAAAATAGCGAACCATTGTTTGCATTTGAGGATTGCGGTCAGTTATTTATATTACATAATATAACTATTTTTTAACTATTGTATTATTTAATATATTGTTTTGTCCTACAAATTATTAGCTAAAAATGTGTTTGACAAAATTAATTTTAAATGTAGTTATTATAAAACTAACTAATATCAAATATCAAATTTATTTAGCAAATGTTAGTTTATTCAAATTAAAATACAGTACATTTACTGGCATAACATTACAGACATAAGTTAATAAAAGATAAAATTGGATATAAAAATGTAAAATAAAGTTGATTCACACTTTATCTTTAGTTATATGAATCAAATGTTTGAATTTGTAATTTAATATAAATTTATTATATATATTGTATTTAAAAATTCATTCAATATTAATTAGTGATATTTATTATTTTGATAATTTACAATAAAATATTATAAAAACTATTGAATTTTTATCTGACAAAATATGTTCACATAAATAGGTGGCACTCATCTAAAATTCAATAACATATCAATCAAACCGTTACCAATAAAATTGAGCAAAACTGACAAAATTTATTTGACGGCAAATGTTGATGTCATGAAAGACTTGCCATTGGATGCCATATCGGACTTACAATTGACAAAACTGGTAGATGTAGGCAACGATACGATGCCGATAGACATTCCCTGTTTGAATGACATGGGGTCGTGTAAGCTGCCGGTGTGTGACCTGTTTGCCAAATGGTATAATAGTGTCATTTGTCCATTTTTCACGCGCGCACACGTGCCGTGTGAATGTCCCGTACGGAAGACACACTTTGAGGGACAGGACATACAAGTGGAGGTGCCGTTTGATAAAATCAAAGGAATGATCGCTTATTTAGCTTCGGTTGGCATTTATTTTTAACAATTCATTTATCGCTATAAATAGAAACACATTTTTACAATACATTTGCTTTTATTATAGAAATTACTAAAATTATAGAAATTAATGTGTGTTTGAATTTGTATGAATTATGTGCAAATAAGTAGTCAGTCATTAATGTATAAATTATTAGATAATTAGTGCCAATGTTTTGCACTGTTATTTGATGGGCTCATGACTTAGTCATTAATCCAATTTAATCGGTTAGTTCCCAATGAATGTTATTATTAATAACTATCATTTAAAGTTTTGCATTATATATTACAAACATTTGTGTTTTAATCATATAAAGCAATAAAAAATATAATCAAAAAAACTAACAAATTAATAATATAAATTTTTATAGCAATTAATAATAAATAACATGTCATAAAATAAGTTTTAAACAGCAGTTATTATTGTAATTATAATAAATATTTTGACATTTTTAAAACATTTTTAAAACATTTTTAAAACATTTTTTAACATTGTTTTGCTGTCAATCTTTAGGGTCAATACAAAGTCGAGTACCGAATCACTGATGGACTGAAAAAAGTAAACTATTCTTGTCTTCACATCAGAGCCTACGTTGACGTCGAGAAACAGTAATTTAATTCAATACTAACACTACTTTATCTCTATTGTTAAAAACAAATCAAAAATTATCAAATTGTAATATAAATTAAATTGAATGAATGTATAAAGGTTTAAATTTTAATATTTTATATATTTTATATATTTTATATATTTTATATATTTTATATATTTTATATATTTTATATATTTTATATATTTTATATATTTTATATATTTTATATATTTTATATATTTTATATATTATATATTTTATATATTTTATATATTTTATATATTTTATATATTTTATATATTTTATATATTTTATATATTTTATATATTTTATATATTTTATATATTTTATATATTTTATATATTTTATATATTTTATATATTTTATATATTTTATATATTTTATATATTTTATATATTTTATATATTTTATATATTTTATATATTTTATATATTTTATATATATTTATATATTTTATATATTTTATATATTTTATATATTTTATATATTTTATATATTTTATATATTTTATATATTTTATATATTTTATATATTTTATATATTTTATATATTTTATATATTTTATATATTTTATATATTTTATATATTTTATATATTTTATATATTTTATATATTTTATATATTTTATATATTTTATATATTTTAATACAGTATATTTAACAGTTATTTTTGTTACAGTAGTTTATAATGAAAATCAAATAAAATTTTAAATACAATTTTAAACATTGATCAATGATCATTCATAAATTTTATTTTTTATTTAATATAAATAATTAAAATTTTATAAATTATTACATAATTTCAAGTATAAAAAAATATCAACACAACAGTATATTTAGCATTATTTATATTGTAATTAAATTACACAATATATATATATATTGAATATAATTATCTGCAAAATGAAACAATAAGCTATCAATAAATCAAATATAGTTTGACAAAATAAATATATTTGTTTTCCAATCGTATTTACTTAATGTCATTATATAAATAAAACAAAAAACCAGAGAAACTTCTAAAATAATCATTTGTTTCATATTATAATATTAATACAATATTAACAAATATATTGGGAAGTAAATACAAAAAGAAATCAATTATCAATTGGTAAACAAACAAAAATTTCAATAAATAATTGGCATTTTTATCTTTAATATATGAGTGAATCCATCAAAAGTGGCCGACATATGACTCGTATGAATCAAAATGGGCACAAATATGTCTAATTGGTATTTGTCTGCATTCAAAACAATACGGTCTTCTCCAATGTCTAATACAATTTGCTTTGTTTTGACTATAGAGGACAACATCACATGTGCCTCAAGACAATTGTCAAACACATTCAATGATAATTTATATCTTGGATTTAATGTTGTTGTTATTGTTGGCATCGATAAGTTGTCTCTAAGATGATAATCGTTTGATTCAAATTCATCTTCATTATGGCTAAAATAATATAAAAATGTTTTTAAATTATTAGAATTTAACATTTAAAAAATATTTTTCATTTAAAATGACAATGGATTAAAACACCAAATGCTTGACGTAAAGTAATAGATAATAGTATTAAATAAAAACTTATTATATAATGAGATAAAACTTACCCAAACAATCACAGGGATGAATATACTGAATATATGAATATGAATATATATATATATATAGTATATGTATTATTAAAAATATAGAAAATGATTGCTATAAATTGTTTTAAAAATATTATTATTTCAAATAAAAAATATTATTATATTATTCAAAATTCCATCATATTTTGATAGTATATTAGATAAAATAAAAATTTCCAATAATAAATATCAACATAGTTTGTAAATGTCAAATTAGTACCGTTTACTGTAATTACAAGTAATCTGATTGTAAAAATGATAATTATAGGAAAGTGATAATTTTATGTGACTAAAAAAACATGATTCAATTTACACTTAAATTTTTATATAATACGACAAATGTTTAATGAAAAATGACTTAACAGATATAACAAATCTACAATAAGTTTGCAAATATAGTAAAACTATTAGTAGATATAAATAAAAAAAATAAAATTGATAGAAATTATATACTATGGATAATTGTTTGTCTATTATAATTTCTCATTTGTTATTTTGTGAATAAACTGTCAAAAAACATGGTTTGATAAAAACATATAAATTTAAGTCTAGCTTAGATTTTAGGCTAAATCTAACCTAATCTATGTTAACCTTAATCAAACCTAACAACTTTTTTCAATTGAATTATCCTAATCTGACAACTTTTATAAAAATATTTGATTATAGTTAAGTCAATAGACTTGTTGCCGCTTAATTGGGTCGTATGTGCGGACCTTTCCGTGTGTATGAATCCCAACATGAGTTTACAGGATGTGGGCGCTTGTTATAAATTTATATATAGTTATATACAGTATATATTTGCAAATGATATGCGAGTGCAGGTACTGTAACGCGTATTGTGTGTTTGTCAATGAGTGAGTGAGTGTATGTATGTGTGTGTGAATGTAGTCAACTGCATATCATTGCATTTATTGTGTATTTCTATGTATGTGTATATACTAGTTATAGACAGGTGTGTGCATACATAGGGAAAGGTGTTTTGAGTGCCATTTTTAAACCTCCTTTGGAAGGAGGCTATCGTTCCAGTGTTTGGATTAGTCTAAACATTAACTAAAAACAACAAACACTATGAAAATGCATAACTTGAATATTGTGTCATATATTATACTAATAGCAATCATAAGCCAAAGTTATACAGTGGCTGTCGATTACTTCAAATATGAGTCTACAGCCCGACAGTCCAGAGTTGATAACGATAGCCATCGGACACCGTTAGCCATTCATGAGAAACGATCAGCTAATGTCTATAACATTAAGTGTCCAAAACAAGAGTATATTCATCCCTGTGATTGTTTGGGTAAGTTTTATCTCATTATATAATAAGTTTTTATTTAATACTATTATCTATTACTTTATGTCAAAGAACTCGATAAGAGAGTCGAGTCAGAGCTTGAAAGCAGTGGTGACGGCGAGTCTGACACCGGGACAACCGGCACACCTACTCTTGACCTAACAATTGATGATAATATTCATCCGGATTTGATAGAAACGGTGGCCTTTTGTAAAAATATTAGGAATGTCCAGGTCTTGACTGATGCCATCAAAGGATTTCAAGGTATAAACAACTCTTAAATACTTGTTTTCAAAGTCATTGAAATATTATATTAAATTTATAATATTTTTTTTTAAAAACACAAAATTGTCATCTAATTCAAGGCCATCGAATAAATTACTTTGTTCTGGACGGTTGCAAATTACCTCCCTTTCCCAACAGGTATTGTCAATAATAACAACATTAGATAGTCATATAGTATTTACTAAAATGTCATTTTGATAATTTCAAGTTAAAGTAATTGTAAAAACATTATCATATGATAAGATTTTTAACATTAGAGAAAAACTAATTGTTTTTGTATTGTTTTCAGTCTCTTCAATGATGTAAACATACTGTGGATGGAAATACTGAACTCTACCCTTCAGTTCCACGAGAATTACTTCAATACAAATCACTGTCCATAGCATAGGACTAACACTTATGTCAGAGACATTATAAGTCATATGAGAAGTACAATCAGTGACTGAAACTAATTAACACAAAAAACCGTTTTTTGACCAAATATTTAATTTAACTAACAAAATGCTACAACTATTAACTTATTTTTAAAAATGCCTTAAAAGCATAATCACAAGTAATCATAACATATATTACTGTATAATCATAACATACCTATTATTATTGCCAATGATTTTAGTTTTCGGTCGTTTATAACCACTGTCTTTTGTGGTATCGGATTTGTGGCCAATGTCTTCACTTTTATTTGTATTATTAACATATTGAATGAGTTTATTATTATTAACACTAGTTTTAACAAATTCATAATTTAATTGTTTGTTATCATCAATTTCATTACCATTATTAATAACATTACTATTTAAGAGAGCACTCAAATCATTAATTTCATCACCTATTTTATCGTAATTAATATCCATTTTATTACTAATTTTCTGATATTTTTTGTTTTTAAGTAAAATCCAATTATTTTTCTCGATTTGTATTTTATGTTTGCTTTCAATTGTCTCTAAAGTAACAGTAATTAAAAATGTCTGAAATAGTTTGCTATTTCTAATCTTATTTTTATAAAACTCTGTATTTATAATAACATCTAACACTTGTGCTTTGGATCCGCTCTTATCTAACGATGGTTTAAATTGTGTTAAAATGAGTGGAATTGTGAAACTGTCGGCTTCTTCGGTGGCCAACAATTGTTGTAATTCTTCTTCATTTAAGTCTAACGTCGGAGTCTTCATCTAAACAAAAGAAATAATTACAATATTTTTTCAAATAATTGAGAAAAGCGTTTAAAATTACAAATCATTAAAATAATTAAACCATTAGTTTAAAAAATGTATAGTATTTAAAATGAATTTTAAATATATTTATATAACGGCTGTTGTATAGTATAGCTGCCACTTGTTGTTCACGCGATTAATATTTAATACAATTTTAAAGTTAAATATACAAATATCGCGTTAATTACAATAGATTTTATTAAATATAAATATATTATTATGAAATAATATTTTACATTGCAAATTAATATATATATACCTGTATATACTGTAATTAAAATTACATTAAAGGGTTGTATAATTGTTTTATACAATCAATAAAAAAAATAAAATTATCTAAATTGTTGTGAAGTACGTGTCGGCGCCAAAGATATTCGGCTAAATGTAGATAAAGGTTATCTTGTGGTATACCCCCTCTTAAAAGATATATATATATATACCGGTATGTGATTGACAAACTCTTTCGAATGATACAGTAAAATGGACAAAACCTAAAAATTAAAAAATTAATTAACTTAATAATATGTTTTATCTATCATTTATACCATTGTCTGTTAGTCTATAATATCCAGCCCAACAGTCAGACACAATAGTTGTCCCAATTTTTACATGCTTACGTATCAAAGGTAAAAGAGTGTCGGCATCTCTTTTATTTAGGGGACATATTTCTAAACGAAATCTACCTCCACGTCGACAATTAGCTCCTATTTGAATCTCAACTAAACCTAAAATCCACGTCCCATCAACTAGTCGACCTCTATTGTACTTTCTTTTACCAACTTTTGTTTCGTCAATTTCTACGACAACTCCTGAATTAAAAGTTATCAAAATATTATCATTATAATTAGGTTTAGGTTGCGGTCGGAACTCCAGGTTAGGTAACAGAGCAAACACTAATACACTATCAGTTTGGTATTACCATTATAATTAGGTTTAGGTTGCGGTCGGAACTCCAGGTTAGGTAACAGAGCAAACACTAATACACTATCAGTTTGGTATTACCATTATAATTAGGTTTAGGTTGCGGTCGGAACTCCAGGTTAGGTAACAGAGCAAACACTAATACACTATCAGTTTGGTATTACCATTATAATTAGGTTTAGGTTGCGGTCGGAACTCCAGGTTAGGTAACAGAGCAAACACTAATACACTATCAGTTTGGTATTACCATTATAATTAGGTTTAGGTTGCGGTCGGAACTCCAGGTTAGGTAACAGAGCAAACACTAATACACTATCAGTTTGGTATTACCATTATAATTAGGTTTAGGTAACGTGCATAATTAAATATGTATCATATACTACCTTCTCCTCCTAAGAGATCAACTGATTGATATTTTTCGACCCAATCAAATACCACTTCTCGACAAAAGTTAAGCCAATCACTTATAGTGTTATGAGATGTTGTTTTAGTTAAATCACTTGTTTCTCGTTTAATGTCCTCATATTTTGTTGTGTCGACCGAAAACAGGTACGTCAAGATTATTATGTTTTCAATGCTAAACTTTGATCCAGAAAACCACGTATTATTCAAAGCACTTAGTCTATAATCATGAGGTTGTCCATGCTTTTGGTGGCACCGGTACGATAATTGTTTGACAATTATCTTCTATGAAAATAATTTTTTAATGTATTTTTTTGCAAATTAATTATTTACCATTTCGTTGTCACAAATGGGACACTTTTTAGTTGCTAATAATAAACCCATTGTTATACACCAGTTAATCATTGTCTCCTGTGAGACAAGTATTAGTCTAAATAATGTCTTTAGATTAATCATTTTGTTCACTAAATTTAAGTCATAGCTTTCAAAAGAAACATAACTTTCAAGAAAAACTTAACAAAGAAAATATTCTCTAATTTACAATAAAATTAATAGTAATTCACGAGACATTCATATATTTATCTTTAAAATTGTATTAAATATTAATCGCGTGAACAACAAGTGGCAGCTATACTATACAATACCCTATATAACTATAAACAAAAAATATAATTTATATTTATATACAAGATTTTAAATTATGTTTTATGGCTTAAGTAAGTCTCGTGTAAAATGTTTTTGAAATTATATATACAATATTATATATATATATATATATATAAATATATATTAAATAAAATTGTATTTTTAGTAAAATCATTGAATTTGAATGTTTTACTGTTTATAATATAGTGTATAAAAAATCTTAATAATAATAAATCATTTTAGTCTAAAATCATTGAAATGTTAAGAAAATAAACAAATGTTTAAAATATAACATAAAAGTTGAGTTAAATTTGAAAAAAGTAATAAAAATAGTAAATTGATATCAATATCAATGAATACCATCGATGAATGACAAAAATTAATAAATATTTTCTCTCCGGTCGTCAGGTCTCTGGTCTTCAAACAAAATGCCGGATCCTTTGAGTCTTCAATTTCTTGTTGTGTCTCAGTTCGCAACCATTTGTCATCTGATAAGATCTGTTAGCAAAACAATAGTATAAATAGTTATCATTAAATCAATTGTCAATTAAAAATCAATCATTAATTTAATACCCGTTTAAACACCGACTCAAAGAGTCTATCATTTCTTTTACTGTCATTTATCTCCAGATAGTTGTCTGACTGTCCGCTCATAATAGCCGTATAAATGTCACTACAATTTGACCACAAATTTATCGATAAATATATTATTTATAACAACTAAATGACACATAAATAGTAATAATAATAATAAATGTTTGTTTGAAATACTCTATAAATGTAAACACAATTATAAGTCACGTGTTTTAGTAATGTTTTAATGCATTGCAAGTCTAATAGGAGACGACTGTTTAGGTATGCATTCAATTCAATAGTTTTATAATACATTACATGTATTACATGATATTTTTAATAAAACTTATGATTTTCAACTTTTTAAAGATTTGTTTGTATTAACATTTTCAGTGCATAGATAAACAAACATAAAAAATACATATAATTTTAAAATGTTTGTTTCATTCAATAATAAGAAGAAAAGCAAAACAATAAATATTAATAAAAGTTTAAATATAAAGTTTATTTTGAAACGATTTTAACGAAATGTATTTTTAAAAAAGAAAACTAGATTTTTAATATAATTATCATAACATACATAAGTGTTTACTCTTTATTTTATTTTAATGTTTTGATTTAATGCATATATGATGTACATATACAGTACTGTATATAATTTACTATATATGCAAATTATATTTATAATATTTTGATAATAAATTTAACTTTCAATTGAATACTTGTTAACACAGTAACAAATAATAGAAAAACATTATTCATATATTAAATATTAATATGATATATAAATCAAACAATAGTTTACTAAACAACTTGTCTTATAAACCATTTTGGATAACATAGATGATATTAATATAATTAAATGTTAAATAAATTAAGTCATAATTTAAAATTTATAGTTGTAATATAATTTTCTTTCAATAATAATTGCAAATTTGTGAAAATCTATTATATAATAAAGCGTAAACTATATCTAACATTATACATGTAGATTACCAGTTGAGAATGCTAGAAATCATTACATATAATAAACTTTAATTATATAAATTACTCCACACATGCATTACTAAAATTAAATAGTCGTTTAAATCATTATATTTTAAATATTTATACTATTTTTTAGTTAGTATTCGTCAAAATATTCTTTGCTGATAACCTTTAGTCAACATTAGTCTTATTATAGATTACATTACATTTTAAAAATCAATTGTTATATTTAGAAAACAGTATTATTACCATATTTATGAAAACATAGATAAGTACTATAATAGACAATTATATTCTATATTTTTATGTTCGATCATGTTTTATATGAATTCAAAGTAAAAATTCAAAAATGATTTATTTTATATTTTGGACGCCATTTTGTTCATGTTCCTGATGAGATATGTAATTATTTATACTGATCCGCAATACATTATTTTTGATGTTCTAACTTAATTCTAAATAAGAATGTCTAAATTCGCAAATGGAAATGCGATACATGTACGGACACACACACACAGACACATACATACATTCCAGAAAACAAACTTTGAAAAAGTTTGTTTGAAAAATATAATAAATATTTTTTTTACTATTTTAAACAATTTATTAGTAAAAACTTTTATTAAAAACATGTTTATTATGAAAATGTGGTCTACTTTTTAAAAGGCGTTAAATTTTTATTCAAAATTAATATTTACTACAAATTTTCTTCTTTTTCTTCTAAAAGTATATTTTTTCTGATTACTAATGCATTGATTGTTAAGTTGTTTTGCATCAGATTTATTATATATTATTTATATTTGATTAAAAAATAAAATATTGTTTTATAATATAATATAAATGCATAATTTTCATACAAAAATGGGTAAGTGATTTATAGTAATGTTTAAAATAAATTTTATTTATTTATATAAATTAGTATAAAATTAGTATATTTTAGTTGCGAATGACTGTTAATTAAATTTAATTTGAGATCTTTAGTGTTGTTAAGATTTAGCACTTATATGTTTAGCCTTATATCATATAACCTGATGACCTAATCTACAGTTTTATAAATGAAGACAAATATGTCATAAAAGGATTATTTTTGAAAAAGTGATTGCATTTCAATTTTTTTTTTATTCAAACATTCATCGCTTTATATTTATTTTTGTAACACATACTGTACGGTACATTAAATACAATATTTTATTTAATAATATTATACTTCATATAAAATTTTTAGTTTCAAAAATATCAATTTCAATTATTTGTTGTCTTCAATCAAGCAAACAATATTTAATACTCACCACAAACAGCATTAATATGAGTACCTGTAATGCTATTTGTAAACTACAATATAAATTATATAAAATATAGTTGATTTATGTAATTAGATATCTAAACTTAAAAATTAAAAACAATAATTTAAAACTTTGTCCCAAAAAAAAGATATCTAATTACATAAATAATATAGTTATAGTTATGTGAATAAATATAGATAGATAATCTTTTTTATAAAAACATATTTATATAATTTATTTATCAATAAATAACAATATATAATGCAAAATATTGCTATCGATGTACTCTAATATTGTATTATTAACTTTACTGCAGTTTGTAGTCAGTGATTGAAAGTTTGTAATATTGTATTATTAACTTTACTGCAGTTTGTAGTCAGTGATTGAAAGTTTGTAATATTGTATTATTAACTTTACTGCAGTTTGTAGTCAGTGATTGAAAGTTTGTTAGTTTGACGACAAAAATAGAAAAATATACATTTAATTTATTATTTTTCTAAAAAATATTTTATATAATCACAAATAATTAAGATTGTAATATCGATTATTTATATTACAACAATTAATTGAAAATAGTAAATTTTGATAGTTTTATAATTATGAAATTTAGTTTATAAAATATAGTCATAAGTACATCGTTTAGTATTTTTTAAAATATAAATGATTCATAAAATACAAATAATATAATATGTTTATCTTTTTCATGACTTATAAATCAAGGTTAAGCAAGGTTTTAGATTTTAGGGGAGTGGTATAGGGGGTCAAATGACAAAAATCTTGAGCGAGAATATAGAGTGGGGGCGTAAACTTTTATTGCATTTTTAAACAGCAAATCAAGGGGGTCAAGAAAAAATTGCATATAAATGGGAAGATATTTCAAGGAAATAGATATATATTTCCAATAAATTCCGTTATTTCTCTAAATATTTTTTATAATTAATAAAAACTTAGATTTTAGCTAAATTTGTTTTAAAAATATAATAATTCTGCATTTTAAAATTAAAAATAATCAATAAAACATTAATATATACACTATGAGTTAATAGCATAAATCTTTAAATAATATTTTACCTGTTAATGTTTAAGTTTTTAGTTACATATTTTTATTTTACAGAATACTAATAATTTGACTTAGTTTTAGTTAAAGTTTTAATTCAAGTAATTATAAAATAAATAATACTTATATATTTTTAACTAAAAATTTAAAAAATTGTTAATAAAAACAGTATTGCATACAATATATATGGTTTTATTAACTTTAATTATCTTAAAATCATATTATAATTGTAGTATAATTAAATTAATTCATCAAATAGTTAATTTTTAATTGCATATTCTAATGAAAATAATTTTATATTTAGATTTGTTTTAACTTAGTTTTAATCATTTTCACTCAATAATTACATTTATATAAGTTATAAAAACATAATAACACTTAATAAAATATTATTAATTAAAATTATAATTTTGATAAACTTTAAAATGAGATTCAAAATTTTAGGGGGGCTATTTCTCATCGTTACTAAGCAACAATTTTATCAAATTGGCCAAAAAATTGAGGGGTAAAATCACAAAAATCTCGATCTTAGAGGGATCATTTATCTTGACCCCCCTTACTTAACCTTGATTTATATGTCCTTATTATTGTACAACTTTATATTAAAATGATATTGATAAATATTTGAAAACACAGTTGAATTTTGTATATTTAAATAATAAATAAAGTTTTTTTTACTTTAATATATTTATGTGATTTCAAACGTTGAACAAAATAGTTAACAAATTTTTTAATTTTATATTTACAACATTCTTTAGATAATTTTGTTATTAATTTATACAAAATACAATATTATGTATTTTTGTATTTCTATTAATGTGATAAACTATTTGTTTTAATACTTGTTAAGCAAACAAAAAGTTTGTTTAAATAATAATTTATTCCGAGTCATGATTTATATACAGTTATATTTTTTCTATAACTTTATGTATAAATAATATATTTTCATGTATTATATAAATACAGTAGTTTTAATTTAGCTGTTGTTATAATTTTTATAAAATATAACTCGAAATTAAAACATTTTTTAATAAGTGAAATAAATTAAGTACAAGTAGTTTATGTAGTAGTAATAGTAAGTTGGTTGATAAAAAATAAATTTTAATTCAAATACAGGTAATAATAATAGTAATATTTTAAGAGAGTTAATAAAACCATTAACAAAACAAAGTTGCAAACATTTTTTATTTAGGTTTATTCAACTTAATATGATATTTAACTTTAATATTTTCATCGGTGTAAAAACTAATGCATTATAAATGAATGTTTAGTCAAAAATATCACGATTTGGTGGGAACGGAATGTAACGGCTTTATAATGAAATTTGTTTTTTAAACTGTTTTTATTATCATTTTTATTATTATACATCATTTATATATTAAGTAGTACTACATGTATATATATATAAATTTATTATAACATCGATAAAAGATAATCGATTACTTGTGTATTAGAAATTAATTACATTTAAATAAACATTATATACAGGAGTTATGATTATACAATATATATATATATATATATATATTATATATACAGTATAATAAATTCTGTTGATATTTCTAACAAAAACTTTATTGGTTATAATAATAATGAATAGTTATAAAACATTTTACTTAAAATTATTAAATATTATCATTAAGTTATCATTTATTTAGAGTAATCTGTAAGTGTAATGAATTAATAAAATGAGTGATAAAATTAAGTTTAGAAATCTTTTTGAGTTATAATTTAAAGATATACAGATTTATAACGTATATCTCTAATAATAGTTTTTTAATTTAAAGTTAAATTTTATTTTTAGGCAAACTGAAGATTACATTGTATTTTTCCTATAAATCATTACAATATATACTACAGTATTTATTATCATCAATTATAAAATATAAATATTTATAGTTATTTATACTTTTATAAAAATACAGTAGTATTGTATTAATTATTAATATTGATATTATTATTTATCTTTCAATTGGTGATCCAAATACCTTATTATTAAACAAACTGTTAATATTATATTACTCATCATGAAATTTATGTATTAAATAGATATCAATCTCTATTGAAATATTAAACAAACTGTAAAAGTTATTAAACTTAAGCTACATTTAATCAAAAGTATGGATACCTGTTATATACTAGTAATATATAAATATAAGACACAAAAAATAAGTTATAGGACTTATAGGACTTTCAAGTTCTCGATCAGTGTTTCACTGGAGTACTGGACTATCTATTTATAAACCATTAGGAATCCAGTATTTTCTCAAATAAATTCCTTATATAATATACGATATATACAATAGTATATATTGTAAATCAAATATACTGTATATTATATTACATAATAAACGTAGAATTTATTGAGCCTTTTATATGTTTGGATATACTCTCTAAAGATAACTCTCATTCACAACCAAATTGACGACCTTTTTGTTCCCAATTTTCTTTACATCACTTAAAGGCTCTGTATTTTTGCCAAACATCGAGACCACAACTACAGCAGTACTCTTGTTGTGTCCTAAATATAAAGACTTTTCACAGATTTTCATCCAAAATAATATATATTCCTATTTATCGCTCTCTAAACAACATTCAGTTTCAACATTCAAGTTCAACAAACATTTTGTGCTTAAAATTTTGGTAATCAATACATAGTTTAACATTATTAAGATATAACAGTCTGTCATCGAAATCACTATCAATTAAAATAGTATCAAATCGTATTCCCGTTCACTTATTTTCTATGTATAATATTTATAAAAAATATTTGAATCAAATAAGTTTGTCATTAATTCACTGATTTTCAATTAGTGGGAGAAAGCATTGCCTTAATTTGTTTAAATTGATGAATTAATTTTATAAATGTTTTTTTTAATTATTGGTTACAAATGAATATATTTGTAATACTCGTGTATCTCTTTTATCTTAAAAAATAAAATAATTAGTTATTGTGAATGTTTTGTTGTTTTTGGACAAACGTTTATGAATTGAAAATATATTAAGAAGACACCGATAATGATGTTTGAAAAGACAATTGCAATGTTGCCGGCAATTGTGCCGACACTTATGTTTCTCATGTTTAAGGGATATCACCGACAAATCCCATTCACTACCGAACATATTGACAAAGAGTACGACTATATCGTAGGTAAGATATTTGATACAAAAATCACTTTATTTTAAAATATATTCAAAAAAAATTTAGTTTTTTAAGTACAACATATTTATTATTTTATAAACTTTATTTTATCTAATTGTAATGTAAAGAATTATTTTTATAAAAATAAATAGACTTTAAATAAAATATTTTCAAAACATAAAATTTTTAATCCGTCTTTAAATAACATTTATTGAATGAACAATTATTTTTCTTTAAAATTATATATTATTATAAAACAAGTGATTTATTATTAATTGACAAATTTATTTCATTTGATTTTTGTTTAAATAATTATGTTAACAACATTTATAACAATTTCTTTTAAAATCATGAGTTTAATAACCTCTTTAAGGATTTTATGTTTTTATTTAAATTATTAAAAAAAAGTCATTCACTAATTTTTATGTAAGATTATATTGCTGAGCAAATAATTTTATTTGTTTTATAATTTTGATTACATTTGTATTTAAAAATTGCCAGTGGGTGCCGGTTCGGCCGGTGCAGTGGTGGCCAGTCGTCTAAGTGAAGATCCTCACGTAAAAGTGTTATTACTGGAGGCTGGAGGTCATGAAGTCTGGCAAAGCGAGATACCAATGTTGGCGGCCCGGCTGCAGATGTCTGAATATGACTGGCAATACAGGACTGAACCGCAAAAGTACGCGTGTCAGGGCATGAAAGAGCACCGATCAAATTGGCCGCGCGGTAAAATATTAGGCGGGTGCTCATCTATTAACTATATGTTATATGTTCGCGGAAATAAACGAGATTATGACCACTGGGCCAGTCTTGGCAATTATGGTTGGGATCATAACTCAGTGTTTCCTTATTTTATAAAATCTGAGGACAATCGCGATCCCGATATATTGAAAAATGGATACCATGGTACGATTGTATTTATTTTTTCTAATTATATTTTGTTATGTATACTGTATATTGAATTACATTTTTAAATCATATACTTTTTATTTATACCTTACTCTATATTAATAAAGTTAATTAGGAAATAAAGTTTTTTAATATCTTAATTGATGAGACACTTACTACTGTATAATTAATGTGGTTTCAGTATAAAATAGTAGTGTTTAAGTGTATGTATAAACAGATATCAATTCAAAATCAATTGGCATATATGTTGTTATTTTTAAGGTCACGGCGGGCACCTAACTGTGTCAACAACTCATTATACCACTCCAATCGGCGGTGCTTTCCTACAGGCGGCCAAAATGTTTGGTTATCCTAATATTGATATAAACGGTGTCCAACAAACTGGTTTTGCCGTTCCTCAGGGAAACATACGCCGAGGCGCCCGATGTTCGACATCAAAGGCATTCATACGTGATGTCCGCGGACGACACAACTTTCACGTTGTAATCTACTCACACGTAACCAAAGTATTGTTCAACAAATACAAGAAAGCTGTTGCCGTCGAGTTTGACCACAAGGTTAGTCCCAACAACACCACTGGCACTAAACATAATATCTTTAACATACCATATAATTATGTCATTTATTATATGTTATATAACAGTATTATCATTAATCTTATTGTTACTGTTATTGGCTTCTAAATAATATTTAAAAGTTAATTGAATGTTATTATTAAAATAAACATTAAATATTTATTTTGATTTTACTATTGAATATTGAAAAATATTAGAACATTTAATGAAAATTATATTTAGATTTCTATTTATGACCCAATTTTTTCGCAAAATAAACATTTAATATTTAGTTAGAGAGAAATAATTATTATTGCAATTTAGTGTTACTCTCGTTTCTCTTTAATAAAAGATATCTTTTATATCAAATCTTTTATTATTTTTGAAATTTATTAATGAAAGCGTTCGAAAATCTTATTCAATATTTATTTAGAAAATCTATATTCACTTTAAAATATTTATCTAAAATAAATTGTAAACCAAATAACTAGTATTAAGAAAATTTTAAGAAAAAATTGCTTTTAATGTTTAATAATAAAGAACAACTTAAATATTGATTTCAACAATCAAACTATTGTATTGAGTTTTTATTATACTATAATATTTTACTATTGATATAACTTTAAAAAGCAATATTATATTTATATCTAGTATTATACTTAAATAATATTTAACTAACTTAACAAAAGATGTATTTATTTATTTATAAATCAAACAAAGGGTTTAAAACATATTGCATACGCTCGTCGAGAGATAATATTATCTGCCGGTGCTATAAATTCACCGCAACTACTGATGTTGTCAGGCATTGGCCCGCGATATGATTTAGAAGAGTTGGGAATTCCGGTTATAGTTGACGCCCCCGGTGTCGGTCAGAATTTGCAGGATCACATTGGAGTGGGAGGCTTGCAATTTCATGTGAACGCACCGGTATCTGTTGTACAACCGAGAGTATTTGTGGCCAAATCATTCACACAATGGAGTACTTTAGGTATCGGACCGTTGACTATGTTAGGAGGTTTAGATGGCATTGGTTTCATAAAAACCAAATATGCCAATCAAAGTGATGACTGGCCCGACGTTGAAATACATTTCATACCTTCCTGTGCGTCATCTGATGGCGGAGAGACTATCCGTAAAGCTATGAACCTTAAGGACGAACTGTTCCGCAAAATATATGAACCCTTTCTATATGACGATTCATACGCTTATTATCCGGTTTTGTTAAGACCAAGAAGTGTCGGTTGGATGAAATTACGGTCAGCCAATCCATACGATCAGCCTATCCTACAACCTAACTGTATGTCACTATTGCATCAAATTTATTGTTTTTTATTGTCATTTGATTTTTTAGTATACAATACAATACAAAATTACATTCAATAAAATTCATGAAATGATTTATATTTTATGATTCAATATTAGATATATATATATATATATATATAACAATATACTGTATATAATAGTAAAATAAAGTAATTACCAAAAAATTGTTACAAAACTTTGTCCTAATGTTCGTGACCCTCAACTTAACATAAATTACTATTTTTATGATTACTTAAAATGACAGCAATTTTACAAAACTTCTTTAGAGAATTTCTTTAAATAAAACAAACAAATATTTCAAGTTTTTTAAAACTAATTTTTTTGTTTACACACATTTTGAATTTCAATTGAACTTATTTGTTTATTTTCCAATTTATTTATATAATTTACAGTACATATAGTTATAGATACAGTATATTTAATTAGGTATATCCCAAAATTATTGAAGACAATATAAAATAGAAATATTTATAAAACAATAAATTTTATTAAATTCTCTTACAATAAAATTTAAAATTATTATTAATTTATTAGTTTTATAAAATATGATATATTATTATGCTATAAATACATTTAAAACTAATAAAAACATGCATTTATTAACAGATCTTAAGGATCCATACGATACTAAAGTATTAGTAGATTCTCTAAAGTTATCAATAAAGATGGCTCTATCGGAACCATTTAAGAAGTTTAAGACAAGAATTTGGTCGCAAACGTGGTATGGATGTGAACAACACAAGCCATATAGTGATGGATATTTAGAGTGTCTGACCCGTTCATATACGGCCACAATCTATCATCCCGTCGGTACCGCCAAAATGGGCACCAAAGACGACCCAATGGCTGTCGTTGACCCTCAGCTCAGAGTTTATGGCGTGTCTGGTCTGAGGGTAATTGACGGCTCAATTATGCCGACAATAGTTTCAGGCAATACTAACGCACCAATTATTATGATCGGAGAGAAGGGCGCCGACATGATTAAGGGTGTTCTCAAATCACCCCCAATAAAGCCCGGAGAGGCAGCCATTCCTTATTATTTAACACTTCCCCCAAAACAACAAAAAGAGTACGCAAGGGGTCCTATGAGTCAAATCGGGAAAATATTTGGAAAATTGGGAATTAGTTGAATATTTTAACACAATTTTATTTCATTTTACTACTCATTATTTTTATACATTAATTAAATTTATACATCATTTGTACATTTTTCAAATTACTATTAAATTATAAATATAAATTTAATTTGTTATTTTGTTTGTTTATTAAGTGTAAATTATTTCACTTATGATTTTTATTGTATATAATTATATTTTAATTTTTAATCTAATAATTAAAATAAAATAAAATAATAATTTTTGACATAAAGTAATCTAAATTTATGATACATTATAATCGATTTCAATCTATGTGTTTATACCACAATTTAATGCTGTAATTAAATTTAAATCAATTTTTATTACATAACTACTATGTGACCCAAATTGAATCAATTTTTATAAATGATAAAACATGGGTCACTCTTTTGACAACAAAATTACTGTTTTTATATATTTTGATTATATTTTATTATTTACACTGAAGGGTATATTTATTGTATATACACTGCATATACTGGTATATATCTATTGTTTGTTTAAATCACAATAAATTTTGCTAATATTTATAAATGTAATGTTATGGCCTATAACTTATGGGTCATATCTTAATCGTCGAGCTTTTAAATATAAAATACAGAAATATCTATTTTTATTAACAATTTTTGTATAAAAATTGATGTAATGATAAAATTGAGTAAGAGATTGACAAATGATAATATTATATATTTAAAAAAAATAATAATTAATAATCTAGAGAGCAATTTAAAGAAACTAATTAATGTCAATGCAATATATAGAAACTTTATGATTTAAAAAAATTAATTACATTATGTTTTTAATTTATGTTTTAAATGAACACATTATATAAATAAAAACTTAATTACTCACACAATTTGTAACATAAATTTTATTGACTTTTTGTGCCTTAAATGTGGAAAAATTATTAAAATACTTGTTTCCGATAGCATTTGTCTTCAACAATATTTGTCAATATTAGTGATAGAAATGGGCAAATAGAAAGTTTCTAATAAATTTCCCTCAGAAATTTAACTTTATTGTTATACTATGGGATCAACATATCTATAGCTATTGTAATACTATAAATATATTAATGAGACATAATACTATACATATAATATTATACTATATAATGTAGATTACTGTATAATACTATTATACAAATGGGATACATATATAAATAATTATAATTATTTAATAATAATCAGTTTTGTAAAAAAAATTTCATAATTTTATTATATCATAGTTTAATATAATTAAATAAATTAATTTTTTATTTTAATTAATAATTAAAATACTAATAATAATATTTAATTATTACTTGTAAAAACAATGTAAAAGATAACAAATATCGAGAAAACAAAATTAAAATGGGGATCCCATAAATAAAAATTTCTTTTAGAAACTTTCTAGAAATTTTTCTATTATTTTATGAATTTCTCTGAAAAACATTGAAAACAATTTTAGTGTAAAAATAATTTTTGAATAATTATTTCATTAACATAATATACCATTATAAATATATAAATACATTATATATTACATATATATAATATACCATAATATGGTTCAATACAATTATGTGGTATTTAACAATTTTACAGATATGAGATTAATATTTGTAAATTACAAAACATTTTGAATTAATATAATTTAATTTTTAAGCTAATCCAATATGAAAACAAGTTATATCATATACTGTATAATATTATGAAAGTATGTTAATTAATTTAATAATGTAATTGATACTGTATTAATATTTTTAAATTTTAAGTTAAATCATAATTTTAAATTTAGTTTACAAGTTTAATATATTTATTGATTAAAACAATAGTTTATTAAAAAGAAAATACATATTTTATGATTTTTATTATACTGTATTCAATTAACAGTTATTCGTTTAGATTTTCATGTAATAAATTTTTCAATAAAATCATTTTTTTTATTAATAACATTATAGTTTCATTTCATTTATTATTAATGTAAACAAATAATAAAATATATACTTTTATTATTTAACTATAAAGAAATGAAATAAAAGCTATTTTAAATAAAAAATGATTTTTACTTAAACGAATAAATTATTACATAAAATTACAATAGATTGATAAGACAATTATTTTTTTAAATTTTATATTTGTTTTATACTTTTTCTATCCTATTTATTCTATAGTTATTGCAAATTAAACTTTTGTTTTGTATTTGATACTGGGCAGTTTTTAAAATAATAAATACTGAAAAACATGTGTCTGAAAAATATCAATTATAATTTAATATCTCTTTTAATATTAAAAAAAATTTAGTGAACACATTAAAGATAAAAATATTATATTTTATACAATATTATACATTACATGAAATATAATATAATATTTATTTTTAATTAATTAATTAATAATTACTATAGTAAATAGCATAAATAGAAATCTACAATATATTCTGTACACATTTTAGTTAACTTGCTCAAATATAACTTTTTTTGTACAGTATATATTTATATTATAAAACAGATAATTAATTTAACAATTTGTACTATTTTTTATTTTTATAACATTTTTAATAAATAATAAAATCAGATAATGTGTTAATATGTTTAAACACATTATGTTATTAATATTTGTGAAGATATTTGCTTTTTTGGTGACTTCATAAATAGAAAATAGTTTGAAAACTTTTTGATTTATAATTATGTTAAATAAATAAATTTATTGATTGTTCAGTGATTTTCCTATCAAATTAATTTTTAAATATTAATAACAATTACATGAAATATAAATATATATATATATATATATATATATATATATATATATCTTACCATAAAATTTGATGAATCGGTTTATTAATTAAAAATAAATTGTCAATATATAATAAATATAAGATTTATATTAATTGTCAAATAATTAACAATATTATAGACCATTAATAATATTAATAACCATTTTATTTATATTTCTAAATAAAAGAAAAATTAATTAAATAATTATTGTTGAGGTAATTCACTTTTAATATATTTATATATAAATATTTAAAAATTATATACAATTTAGATTTTAAATAAAAATTAATTAAATATGAATTTAAATTCATTATTTAATATTATAAACTCTAAATACATTTAATTAAAACTTGGCTTATATAATAATCAACTTTGACTAAAAAATTATGTTTTATATAATTAATATCTTTATAGTATATAATACTATTTAATTTTTAACTTTTATAATATATAAATTTATTTAAACTTAAATTTTTAGTAAAATTTTTTAAAAAATCAATATATATATTTTTAATTACTTTTAATAATACCGGTAATAATAATGTTTTTCTTTAATCTTTAAACTATATTTGTACACTATACTGTATATCATATATTATCTATGTTTTATTTTACAACACTAACAATATAAATTTAAATTGCAATCAATTTAATGCAATGTTTAGTCACATAATTTACTTAAATTATAAAAATTTTTATATCTGTAATAATAAAAATTATAAATAAAATAACAAAACTGAATATATTTACAAATAATAAAATTATAACCAATTTGCTAAAAAAAGTTATATAAAAAGTTAGATATAATAAAATACTTATAAAAGCAGGTCTCAGATTAAATGTTTTGATAAAAAGTTTGTAAATCTGTTTGTTTTAAAATCTGAATATAAAATTCGTAAAAATGGGAATTATTTTATAAATGTTGATTATATATGAGATAAATTGCAAAATTACGACAATCTTAATGAGCAATGTTTAGCAACTTTTTTGCACAGTTTTCCGGAAAATATTTTGTTTGGAGAGATTAAGTGATGGCGAGGTTGACATCAATGAGGATGTGATGCCATTGGACTTATTGGTGATGTGTTGAGAACTGTGCAAATAATTGGGATAACGGCTCTTAATTGGTTCAGATGTTGGTCTGGGAGGGGTTGGAGTGGGAGTAGTAGGTAATGAGCTATCCGTATGTGAGCCGATGCCAGCTATGGATGCCCTATGAGTTAGCACTGGTTTACGGCCAGTGGTCGCCTCAGAGGCTCGCCGTCGCCTTCGAGTTGTTGGCATCATTGATGTTGAATTGCCGTTACAACCGGCCGATGATGAACTATAGCCACTGGATGTGCTCATCCATGGCTCGGGACTCGACAATGAACTGCGACGACTGACTGGTGTTGAGCTGATATATCTACCAAATGTTGGTGTATTGGGGGATACAGTGGTTTGTGCTGTACTGACTAGTGGTGCATAACTACGGCGACGGGCACTCACACTAACGGTTCGCGTCTCCATAGGTAACAAATCGGCGGCAGATATCTCTTGATTAGGATCTCCTCCGTGACGCTCAAGAAAATGACTGAGTGTTGTCCACCCACCTGTCCATACAATTATAAATTATATTAATAATATAAATATAATCTACAAATATAACAAATAATACCAATTCATTTTAAATTAAATATATTATTTTGTTTATAAAAATACTATTCATAACTTAATTTATTTGTTTTATATTCATATCATTCACTATTTAACTAAATATATAAATAATTCTAAAAATATATTTAAATAATTAAAATTAATTTCATCATAAAGTGTATTAGCCTCTCAGTGTAATCTCGATTAAAAATCTATTTTATTTTTAATTTAAATTAAAATTATTGCAATAAAATAGCAACTATAACTATAAATATATATTACAAAAATGTCACATAATTTTAATACTACATATTTCTAACTAAAGTATAAAAAGTTTTCATCACTAAAATTATAACCACTATTATTTTGTTTTGTGTAATAATTTTGATAAATTTTTGAGAATTTATTGAACTCAATAGTGTAAACAAATAAATTGTTATTCATATTTATAATTATTTGTTTTCAACTACACTATAGTTTTGAAAAAATAACTATAATCTTAAATGTACCCAAATTTGATGATTAGTGTATGATTTTATGGGAAATATGTTTAATATGTTTCTCAAACACTTGAACTGAGTTTTTTAAAATATTGGTATCATTTGTCATATATATATATTTATAAATACGGGCCATACCTCCTACTCTAACCATAACGTGACGGGCTTTGAGTAGCTGTAAATAAAAGTTAGTAATAATTATTAATAATATATCATAAATTTTATATATACATCATTTAAATTAAAATACTATTTATTTTAAAGACAAATAGATAATTTTAAAAATTATAGAAATAATAATAATAATACTGTAATAATAAATTTTTAACAAAAAGTGATGTTTATTCATGAATAACAATCTTTAACAATATTTTATATTTATGAATGTGTAATTAACTGCCTAATAGGGGAAAGGGAGGAATGGTATACACAGGAAACGACAGGACATAACTTAGTTTAAATGACTAACAATAAAGATAAAAATGATACACAATTAAGTCTTTTTTATTATTACTTAATTGTATTTTATTTGTTTGTTATATAGATTTTGTAACTATTATACACTTTGATTAATTAAGTTTTTATAACAATAGGCTAACATTTTGTTTTACTTTATAATTAATTGAAAATAAAAACAATCAACAATTGAGATCTTTTTTTTTGTTATAAGTAATGATGTGTGCAAATGAATTGACACAATCATAAAAATATCTTTAAACTAACAACTTATGACTTTAAATAAATATTAAGCTATTTATGAAATAAAACATTTAATTTAATTTATGTATAGTTGATTTAATTTATAAATAAATAATAATTTACATAAAACTATATACTATTTTAAAAAACAATGTTTGTCATATATTATTAAATTACTTATCCTATTTTTATCAATAATTTTGTTACATTAATACTAGTAGTTATCTAAGCTAATAGAAATTAAGATAAGAGTCATCATTTATAATCATTTTTTATGAATATATATATATATATATATATATATATATATATATATGTCTTTTATTCAAATATAAATCAAAAATTGTCTAAAACTTATATAAGGTTATCATATATTTGCAAAATTACTAACAGATAATAGGATTAGTAGTTCTAAAGACTATACAATATTCAAATTATACGAATGAATATGACTAATAAATAGCTGGTGAGGAACCAGGAGGTGAACCCGAGTAAACCCAAACCCCGTTAGATAGTTAATGAGGGATATCTGACTGATTGTCAGTCGCTTTTGAGACTTTATGTGTGTGTTAACTATAAAGTGCCGATAATAACAAATACAATACGGAAGTTACTATTTATAATACCAGACAATACAATGTAGCAATAATATGACTGTAGTATGACTATCAATATATTAGTTAGTCTAATAGTTATGCTAAAGGGTCATACATTTTTGCACCTACATTACAGTTAAAAACAGTTTACCCGTAAAAACTATTTTTCATTACAATAGCTATAACGTTTGTAACTGTATTACCAATTGAAAACATGCAAAAAACAATCATTTTACTTATAAACGCAACATTACAATGATATAAATGCCTTTAAGTGTATTCCCATTATTGCTAAATCAAAGTTAATAAATGCTTTTAAATATCATCTCTCTCTCTCTCTCTCTCTCTCTCTCTCATCTAAAAATATAAATATAAACTGACAATTCAGACAAACGGCAATCTGTTAGTACTGTAGTTTGTATTTATTTAGTTAGCATTTATTAATTTAGTGTATCATATATATTGTGTTTCCCGATTTAGTTTTTTAAAAACATATAATCCCATTATTGTGAAAACCATTAATACAGTGTTATTACTATTCATTCACTCATTTCTTTAAATAATAATAATAAATTAAATAATAAAAAATATTACTGATAATAATTTTTTGCAACAATTACAGTATACAATAGAATGCGAAATTAATAATAGGATTGAAATGTAATTTTAGCAAATAAAGAAGCTTTAAATTATTAATATAATACAATATATTCAAATATTAGTATAATAAGATTGTATTTTAATATATAAGTTTGTTTTGATTATTTGCAAGTAGAGAAAGAAAGAAAGAAAGAAAGAAAGAAAGAGAGAGAGAGAGAGAGAGAGAGAGAGAGAGAGAGAGAGAGAGAGAGAGAGAGAGAGAGAGAAATCTAATATTTAAAATATTTAAGAAAAATGTATAATAAAATATATTTGTGTTATTTTACATATAATATATTAATATATTAATATGGGTTAAACTGTAGGGCAATGGCATTCTGGCATTTATGGTATCGACATATGTGTAGTGAAACCTTAAGAGAAAAACTGGATATTTATGTGCAAAAAGAAGGCGTTTCACAACTAAATACAAACATTTTCAAAAAAAACTTTGAAAAAGTTTTGTTTTCTGAACTATACGAGCCTTTTTGTGTGTGTGTGTGTGTGTGTGTGTGTGCGTAGCATTTTTTTTGCGAATTTTGAAATTCTGACTTCAGATTCGGTTAGAGGACTACTAATAATGTATTGAAAAGTTTAATTAAAATTTTGATATCTCTTCGGGAACATAGACAAAATGGCGGCCAAAGTACAGAATTTTTTTTAAAAAAAATTTTAAGTATAGATTTGTATAAAGCATCAAAAACAAGCATAAAATATATGCATTAAAATTTTGATATCTCTTCAGGAACATAGACAAAATGGCGGCCAAAGTACAGAATTTTTTTTTAAAAAAATTTTAAGTATAGATTTGTATAAAGCATCAAAAACAAGCATAAAATATATGCATTAAAATTTTGATATCTCTTCAGGAACATAGACAAAATGGCGGCCAAAGTACAGAATTTTTTTTTAAAAAAATTTTAAGTATAGATTTGTATAAAGCATCAAAAACAAGCATAAAATATATGCATTAAAATTTTGATATCTCTTCAGGAACATAAACAAAATGACGGATTAATAAAAAATACTAATAAAATCATAAATATTTTATTGTTTAAGATACAAAAATAGAAAATTTTTTATAATTTATTTACTAACATACAAAATATAATAATGGTAACTTTGTACCTTATTGAAAAATAAGGTAAATATCCGACAAATCTATTTTTTAATAAACCTAAAATTAGAAATTGTTTATAACTCAGCCATAAACAGATATCTAATGTTTATATCAGTTAATATTATGTCAATATTAATAATTGAGAACATTAATAATTGAGTCAACATTAATAATTGTCAACATTAATAATTGAGTCAACATTAATAATTGAGTCAACATTAATAATTGAGTCAACATTAATAATTGAGTCAACATTAATAATTGAGTCAACATTAATAATTGAGTCAACATTAATAATTGAGTCAACATTAATAATTGAGTCAACATTAATAATTGAGTCAACATTAATAATTGAGTCAACATTAATAATTGAGTCAACATTAATAATTGAGTCAACATTAATAATTGAGTCAACATTAATAATTGAGTCAACATTAATAATTGAGTCAACATTAATAATTGAGTCAACATTAATAATTGAGTCAACATTAATAATTGAGTCAACATTAATAATTGAGTCAACATTAATAATTGAGTCAACATTAATAATTGAGTCAACATTAATAATTGCGTCAACATTTAATACCTTATATAAAGTGAAATTATTATTTCAAGCCTCAGTTCAAGTCGAGCCATCGAAGAGACAACATGTAAGTCAAATTAATTTTTTACTTACATTTAATTATTTCTAATACATAATATTAATTTTTTATTTGTTGTTTGTGAACTTAATAATTGCGTCAACATTAATAATTGCGTCAACATTTAATACCTTATATAAAGTGAAATTATTATTTCAAGCCTCAGTTCAAGTCGAGTTAACATTAGAAGAAGTACACAATCTTCAAAGAGACGAAAAGTTATCATTAATAAGACGTGACCCTGTAACTTCAAGCAGATATTTTGAACACAGATATCGAAATTTCTTCAATTTAATCATAAAGCCTGGAGTAGCATTTGGAAATAAACGTGTTATCAAAAGTTATTATCGCGTTGAATTTCAGCATAGAGGTTCGCCACATATTCACGGTCTTCTTTGGCTATCTGATGGACCAAAATATGATAAAATTAATGATAACAGCGAAGATGTAATTAATTTTATTGATGAAATCACATCAACATCCACAACAGCTTATTATGAAACGGAAAACGAAGAAGATACACAATGTGTTGATGAGGATACAACAAATCTCATTAATACGTTGCAAATACATCGACATAAAGAAAATTGTCTTAAAGTAAAGAACACTTGTCGTTATCGATTTCCTATGCCGCCAATGAACAAAACAAATATATTGAAACCATTGGATGAAAATACTTTAGATAAAGACCTAAAGAAACATAAAGATAACTTTAATTCTATTCAAAAATTAATACTATCATTTGATGAAAAAGAAAACAAAAATATTATTAATTACATGTCTTTTGATGATTTTCTTAAAATGTCCAATTTGTCATATTCTGATTACATTGATGCCATAAGATCTTCTATCAATCGCGAAGAGATATTTTTAAAACGTCTGCCTAATGCTGTTAATATTAACGCATACAATAAAATTTGGCTTAACTTATGGCGTGCTAATATAGATATACAATATTGTCTTCATCCATATGCTTGTGTTAAATATTTATGTGCCTATATAAGTAAATCAATGCGTGGTATGTCGCTATTATTAAAACAAGCATCAGAAGAAGCAAAGAAAGGCAACAAAACAATTCAAGAACAAGTACGACATTTAGCAAACACTTTAGTTAATGGAACAGAAATATCAGCTCAAGAAGCGGTTTATCACGCTTTAAGTATGGATATATCTCGGATGTCAAGAGTTACAATATTTATAAATAATGGCCCACCAAATGAAAGATTTCAAATGTTGAAATCCCGAAAAGAATTAGAAGAACTGCCGAATGATTCAAAAGATATATCAATTAAAGGACTTATAGATCATTATATGGCAAGACCAGTTTATATTGATCGAGTTAATAATTTGTGTTTAGCTGAATTTGCAGCATCATATAACTATTGCAAGTCAATATCTTCAAAAATACTCGAATCAGATAAAATTGACTTGATTGATGATGAAGAATCTAGCGATGAAAGTGATATCAAAAGTTCATTACCTAATATTATAACTCTTGAAAATAATATTGGATTTATGAAAAAAAGACAAAAAATGAAAATCATTCGTTACAAAAAATATAATAAACAAAATGATCCAAGTAATTATTATCGCTCAATGGTTATGTTGTATTTTCCTTGGAATGATGAAGAAAATGATCTTCAAGAAGAGAAATGCAAAGAAATATACGAATCAAATATCGAAATAATAAAAGAAAATTTAAAACTATTTGATCCACAATTATTAGAAACAGAATTATTTGACGCCATCAATGCTAATGAAAAAGAAAATGATGAAAATGATAAAAATGAAAGATCAAATGAAGAAGAAATATCTAAAGAACATGATATTTTAAATATTAGATCTCCTATTGCTAACATTTTTGATGAAACAGACAAATCAAAAGAAAACACATCCAAATCTTATATTGAAAAGATCTCTGTTCCAAAAATAATAGATGAAGAAGAATATAGAAAAATGATGAGATCATTAAATATTGAACAACGCAATATTACTATGGATATTCTACATCGCTTTAAAACGGGAAAAATTCCATTTAAGATAATATTAATGCGATCTGCTGGTGTTGGTAAAAGCCATGTTCTCAAATGCATTTATCAATCAATACTTCGTTTTATAAACACAATACCTGGAACAGATTTGGATTCAATTAAAATATTGATAACAGCATACACTGGTAAAGCAGCATGGAATGTTGATGGAATAACATTACATGCGGCATTGGCTTTTCCACATCAACAGATATCTGGTGGAAATTTAAATAAATTGTCTGCCGATGCTGCAAATACAATGCGCTACAAACTAAAAGAATTAAAGCTTTTAATTATAGACGAAATAAGTCTTTGTAGTAATAAAATTTTTAATTGGATCGACAAAAGATTAAAAGAAATATTTCAAAATACGTTGCCATTTGGAGGAATTTCTATACTTTTAATTGGAGATTTACATCAAGCAAAGCCTGTTGGTGGTGGATGGCCATTTAAAGAATCAAAAGATGGCTATAACGCAATAATCGGTCCTTATTTATGGAGAGAATTCAAATCTTATGAATTATCAATAGTGATGAGACAAAAAAATGACATTGATTTTGTTGATTGTTTAAATAGACTTGCAAAAGCTGATTTAATTGAAAATGATATCATTTTACTTAAATCTCGTTTTAATATTAAAGATTCTTACAAAAATGAATCAGTTTGTCTATATTATACTAATAATGAAGTTGCATTGCATAATACAAAAGCAATCGAAGAAAAAGCTGGCGAATTACTTAATAATAAAGCTAATGATGACATAAGAGGATATAACAATATAAGTGATAGACAAAAAATTGTTGAGAAAATTGAAAAAATGACATATCAAGATTCAAATGGGTTAATGAGTGATATAAATTTCAAAATTGGATTAAAATATATGATTACATGCAATGTTGATGTCTCTGATGGCTTATTTAATGGTGCTTATGGTACATTAATGAGAATTGATAAAGATAAATACACTGCAAATATTAAAACAATATGGATACAATTTCCAAAAAATTCTGGATTTGAAATTCGCCGAAAGTACAAGGAATATATGAAACAAAATTTTATTCCAGAGACTTGGACACCGATTGAACAAATAAAGAAAGATTTTCAAATGGGTGGATTCCTTAATGTAAACGTAACTCGTACACAATTCCCATTAGTGTGTTGTGAAGCCATGACAATACATAAAAGTCAGGGATCAACATTTGAACGAGTTATTGTTAATTTAACTAAACATTTGCCTCGAGAATTAATTTATACAGCATGTTCTCGAGTAACATCAATTAATGGATTATACTTGGATGGAGATTTTAAATTAATTGAAAATCTGAAGCCAAAACAAAGTGATAGAGAAATCTTCAATGAAATACAAAGATTACAAACAGAAGCAAAACTTCAATTAATAATTAAACCTTTATCTCTATCAGTACGAAATGATTATGCAATTTCTTACCTAAATGTTCAGTCATTTAGAAAAAACCATTTAGATTTACAAAGTGATGACAACATATTGGCATCTGATTTGTTAATTTTAGTAGAAACAAGAAAAAAGTCAATACAATTTATTACCTAATATTGGAGAACTGTCAGCTATAAGCCATGTTTATTCAGATACTTCTACAATTGCAAATGGTGGCGTTGCTATATATGCTAAGAAGTCTATTAATGCAGCAGTTTTATGCTCACTCATGGATAGTAATGACAAATCCATTTGGCATTATGAAATCTCTTGTGTCAAATTTAATAACATTGCAGTTGTTGGAGTGTATTTATCATCTCGTCTTCCATTTGATACGCTCAAAAATATACTTAATAATATTGCTAATAAGACATCTAATTTTCAACATATAATAATATGTGGCGATTTCAATATTGACTACTCAACTAAAAGCGGACAAACATTAGTTAATTTAACTAATAAAACATATAATTGGACATATTTAATACCAGATGATATGGTTACAACTAATTATAGAAATCAAATTGATTATATTTTTACAAGTAATAAAAATGATAAAATCTATCATTATGACTTTTATGGAAGCTATCACATACCATTTTGGATAGATGTTTGCAATAACAAATGTGTTACTGACGTTAGTTCTCAATCAAGTTACTCATCAAATAATGAAGAAAATGATCTTAACACTACATTAAAACCAGTATCACAACAAAGTCATTTTGTTGCTAGATTTGAAGACATTCAATTAGATGATATCAAAGAGTCTTCAGTACTTCTTACAAAACTATCTCAAGAAACAATTGAAGATTATTTGAAAGTGAAAGATACAAAAGTAACTGCTTTAAGACTATCTCAAGAAGATATAGAGAAGCACACACAATTACAAGATTATCAAATTCATCATAATATTTGGCTTTCAAAGACAAATTATAATTATTTACATGAAGATCTTGTAACAGGTGATATAAGATTACTTGATGGATCGGAAAACAGTGGTTGGCTAAATGATTCACTAATTACAAATGGAATGTCTGTCATTTTTAATAATCAAGCAAATAATAATAATTTACTCAATTTTCAAACTTCTTATCGGTTTCAACAAAATTATCCATATTTAAAACCTAAGTATTATTTTACTAATGTTGGACAAGAATTACATCATATTGTTAACACTAGTAATCATTGGATTTACATCAATGTTCAATATACATCATCTACAACAATTACTTGTAATGTTTATGATTCGGTTAACGCATTAACAGTTAGCGAATTAATTGTACGCGTCGCAAGTGCACATATAAGACAACTCGACATAACACCTCAATTAAATTATCAATTTTGGCGAGTAACCAAACAGCCAAATTCTAATGATTGTGGAGTTCATGCTTTAATGAATATGGCATTAAATATTTCTGGTATTAATCCAAGTTCAAGAAGACTAACTGAAAATAGTTTCAATTTGCGTCAAAGATTACAAAGATGGTATGAATCTGGACAAATTTCAAATTTACACCAATCCAATTACACGAAATACCGAAGCAAAATCCAAATACATAACAATACCAACTCTACATTGTTTGTGTTCAAAATCATTTAATAATAATATGATTCGCTGTATACAATGTGGTGAAAGATTTCATCAAAATTGTCAACCGGATAATAACACAATACAAAGCAACTTTGTTTGCACAAAATGCGTTGAACCAAATCAAGATATTTACGATGTTTTATAAATTATATGTATTACATTTATTATATCATTATTAAAAATAATAATTTTGTATTTAATATTCGATTTTTTAAATAAAATTTAAATTTTATATAAATGAGTTTTTTATTTTTTATAAATAGTTTTTTCTTTGCGAACATAAGATTTCATAACGTCAAAGTTTTTTTTCTGATAATGCTTTCTAGCATTCTTAACTGGTTTTTAACTAACTTTCTCTCATCTCTTTCTCTCTGAAAATATTTTACAAAAGTTTAAACAACATTAATAAGAGTTTGATTTCAATCTACAAACATATATCTGTTTGATCTAACATTTGAGGCGTGCAATAAATATATTTATTATTATTATTAATTAAAAATTTATTAAAATTACTATAAAATAAAATATTAAAAATAAAAACATGTTTTAAATACTTACTCTTACAAATACTATGCGATTTGCAATACGATATTTGCCTGAAACATGAAAATATTACATTAGATCTCAATAATAAAATAAATGATATAAATATAATTTAAGGTTTGAATTATAAATTAGCAATAAAAGCAATTATTGATTTTTTTAAATAGTTTTAATTACAGTACTCTTAAAATATAATGTAAGTACAATCCTTTATTATCTTTTTATAGTATTCAGTAACAAACAAAATACCGGATTTATTATATTTAATAAATATAAATGTTTATGATATTTATTTGCTATATAATTAAAAAAATCTTTAATAAAGTTATTTTTAAATAAGCGAAAATTTATGGATAACTTTCCACATAACAAACTAGATTTTTATTTTTTATTTATTTTTTGAATTTCTAATATTTAGCACAAGTTAGTAATGTTTCAAATACTGTATATCTATCTATATATAACAATACTGTATTAGCAATAAAATAATAGTAGAATAAATTAAACAAAATAGCAAAAAAATTAAATTAATAATTGTTATTTCTGTTATATAAAACAAAACTTAATTATAAGAAAATAGTGTTTTGAAAAAACAATAATGTATAATAGTAATAGTTTTTTTCGTGATATCCTAACCAAAAATATTAAAATATAAAGTATTTAAGCCATTTTGTTAATATTTTTGAAAATTTTTATCATTAAATTTATGTTATTGTTTTTAACATTATTTTTTAAAAATTAATAATTAAATTGAATGTAATCAATAAAATTTTGTCTTATTACTGGTAATAGTTTTTTAAGTATAAATTTTATTAGATAAAAATTATAAACTTTGATATTCAACTAAATTTTTTTAAAAGAATAAATATTACAATATATAAACTTTTTTCTTTTTGGTTTTCTATAAAATATATTATTTTTTTAGTTTTAGTAATAAATTTATATTTTTTTAATCTGTAATTTTTAAGTCTGTAAAAGATTAATTATATAATATAAATAAAATAAAATAAAATTTGTGAAAATATATTTCCTTTTAAGTTATTGTATAAAAATTTAAATAAAATAAATAACTGATAATTCATGTTTGACTTTTTAAAATGTTTGAATTATTTAAAATACTAACTCTATTTATAATAATAATATAAAAATGTTTGCTTTTATATAAATAAAAAATTAAATTAATATACCTTCAGATAGACGTTGAATGCCTTGATGTGCTTCCCTTCCGTAATAGGATTTTGCAATTAACATAACCTATTGATTGATATATAGACATATAAATATAAAACAATATATTATGCATTCTAGTAAAAGTAAAATATATTAATGTTTTAAACCAAATGTTTAATATTTTATCAAATATTATTGACATATTTAATAGTACAGTAAAATATAATATGAATATATTATATACACCTATATATAAACTGAGATATAAATTTAGATTTCTCTTACTTATCATTTCAATAAATAGTTTTTTCTAAGATATGAATGAATAATGAAATTTCAACCTTTTTTCATAAGAGTATTCAAGTGATACAAAACTATTGCTATTGATTTGTATGGGTTTAGTAAAAGTCTTTTGAATGAAAAGACAGCTGTAGTACAGGTATTGGGAAATAATAATAATAATAATACTAATCGTATAAATAGAGAGTATGTGTGACATTGTGTGCACCTTATGATCCAATTCAGATGTCATCAGTTTTGTTGGTGTTGTCGATGCATTTGTACTGTTGACCGATGAGCTGCTGTTACTGCTATTGAGAGAGGAAACAGATGCCATACGAGGTGTACTACTATTGCCTTCAATTTCATTGGCAGGTGTGTCCGTATCGCTTCTATAGCTTATATTACACTCGTGTGATATTGACGACACAGACCAGCCATCGATGGTTTCATTTTCCAATTCATCGATCTCTTGCTCGAACTGAACCAAACCGGGCGCCGGACTGAAGGAGTGTTTAGTACATGCGATTCGTGCGATTTCTAACAAACACAGGACTACATTGCGAGGATTCACGTGTGACACCAGGTCTTCACTAAAATAATACATAAATCAATGAAAGTAACAAAATTTTAATATAATTATATGTATATATAATTTATATTTAAAAAACAATTATCATTTGAATTTTAAAAACTGCAAGAGAGCGCTCCGTTACCTTTCAAATAGTAGGGCATCTCTGACCCCAAACTTTCGACACCATTTGATAAAATTGGAGACATTGTCGCGCGCGTAAAACGACTGACTCTTCGCATTTTCCCAACATTTTGTTGTCACCGCTGATGACTGTCTTATAAAGCCCTTAAAATTGACTCCATTTATGGGAATTTCCTGAGGGAAACATATATCAAGTGATATAAAAACAAAAAAACTTGATTCAGTCAAGTGTTGACTCGACTCATAAAAAGTATGGATCCAATATAAAGTGCCATATAATCTAATATCAATATATACAGTACAGTACTGTATATACAACAATATATTTATATATCTATTATCATTTAAAATAAGTATATTTTCTAATATATTATTTTAAAAAACATTTGCAAGTTTCTCCCGTTAGACTAATTCATTGAGTGATTGAATGGCTCAGTTAGCTTAAGGCATAACTTCATTAGCAAATTAAATAAAGCATAAAGTTTTCTAACCTCTTCTAAGGCAAGACTTAGTTTGCCATTAAATGCTTGTTGTGTGGCATCACATCTATCCTGAATCAATTTGGCTAATTTGCATACAATCACACCGTTGTCCAAACGGGTCATAAAGTTATCGGCTGTTATATCATTAGTATCTATATTAGCAACGATTTGAAAAATTACAAAATTAAAACATTAATAATGAGAAATATATATTAATTAAAGATAATAAAAAGTTTTCAGTAATCTATAGTTTTAATGTGTTTTTAAGAAAAACTGTATTCTATATATTATATAGTAGTTATCAAAAACCTAAATCAATTGATGCATAACATCGTGAAAACGGATTTTTAAAATAAAAAACGCTTTGTTAAGTGACAAAATCGTTACTATTGTTGTTTTTTTAAGTCAAAAACCATATAAAAAATATTTCAAAAATTTATCAAACTTTGAGGACCTGTTAATAAATTATATACAAAGAGTTTATTGTTATCCACAATGTAACATAATGTTATAACAATAAATAATTTTCTAAACTATTTGTATGGAAAAAATATCATAAAAAGCCGTTTGGGATAAAATAAATATTTTCGAAAATATTTTAATTTGTTTAACATTTAATAATAAAAGTTTTCATTCAATGCACATTAAGTTACTTAAAAGCTAAACGTCAAATAAATTCAATATAAGATTTTTAAGTGTCGACAAAAATTTATAATAGTAGTCTAAATAAAAAGCAATAGAAAACATAAATTGAGTTAACAAAACGTGAGTCTAAATCTCAGTATACAAATGATTTTAATGAGGAAATTGATGTAATGATGTTATAATATACATATGAATATACTGTACTGTATGTATAAAATATTCAAAATTTTGCTTAATATCTATGCGGTTGGCAATCATTATTACTACACAACAATAGAAAGTCATTTTTTGTCGACAGGTTTGTCATATCTAATAGATGTATAGAATGTATTGAATATAAAAATTATTTTCGATATATAAATTTATATATAACAACAATTATTTGTTAAATCTAATGATTGAAAGTTCATAAAATAATTATTATAAAATTGTTACATAAAAAATATAAGAAATTGATAGATTAAAAATTACATATAATATTAATATTTAACGTATGTATGTATGTATGTATGTATGTATGTATGTATGTATGTATGTATGTATGTATGTATGTATGTATGTATGTATGTATGTATGTATGTATGTATGTATGTATGTATGTATGTATGTATGTATGTATGTATGTATGTATGTATGTATGTATGTATGTATGTATGTATGTATGTATGTATGTATGTATGTATGTATGTATGTATGTATGTATGTATGTATGTATGTATGTATGTATGTATGTATGTATGTATGTATGTATGTATGTATGTATGTATGTATGTATGTATGTATGTATGTATGTATGTATGTATGTATGTATGTATGTATGTATGTATGTATGTATGTATGTATGTATGTATGTATGTATGTATGTATGTATGTATGTATGTATGTGTGTGTGTGTGTGTGTGTGTGTGTGTGTGTGTGTGTGTGTGTGTGTGTGTGTGTGTGTGTGTGTGTGTGTGCAAAGAGAGGGAGATAGAGGATGACCGGAACAATTGATGTAATTATTACTTCTTAATCATTAATATATAATCATATTTTCAAACTAGACGTGTGAATCAAAATGTTTTTATTTCATAACAATTGCCATTTTATAATAACTATTGCCTTTTATTATTGTTGTGAATGACAGCAATAACTTACAAATCTTACAAATATATAATCAGTTAACTAACACATTGTTATTATTTATAAATCATAGGTTTTGCCAAAAATCTCATTTCAAACTATTCTTATTTTTTTATTTATTTCTTAATTCTCACAACAATCAAAATTTCAAATTTAATATTTAATAGTATGTTAATGTAATGTTGTTGTTGTTGTATTTATATAAACTAATCCCTTATTATAGTAATACTAAAAATATAAACACAGCCCACATATGCTCTTTCATGTCTTAATTTTATGATTAATTAAATGCAATGATATTTAAAAGTAAAAGAAAACTTTCACAGTTTTTGTCATTTAAATTAATAAATATATTTAACTGTAAATATATGTCAGAACTTGTCTATCATAAAAAATAATTTTTAATAAAAAAAAGTACACATAGTTTTTATATAACCAATACAAAAAACTTTACAATTGTAAGTCTGATAGATATATATAATATAAGTTCAATAAATTATTAAAAACTTCCCGATTTTCTATCACTTCCTTTAACAGAATATTTGTAAACTACGATAACATATAATTGTAATGATTGCTGCATAGGTTACATAAAAAATAGTGTTATAACAATAGATATAACAAAATTGAACACCAATTATTGATTAAATTATAAAATTGCTATTCAAAATATACAATATAATATAAAATCAGGCAATCTTTAGGCAAAAATTAAATTTTACCTTTTAATTGCACGCATGAGTTAAATTATATGTAAAAATACTAAATTTAAAAATAGTCCAAAAATATTCATTATTATTTCTATTAGTTTTATTAATTTAATAATTATTAACATTATTTTGATAAATTTTGTAAATATTGTAGTATTAATAACAACATTAATATATAAACATTATTCATGTTATGGCAATTAAATTAAATAATTTAAAATACACACTGAAATTGTTTATTGATTGGATCGAAACCTATGCTATAATATTAAAAATAAATGTTTTGAAGCGCTTCAATAATTGTTATAATGTTTTGCATAATTATAATTTTAAATTTTCTCTTAAACTTTCTTTTCATTTCATAATCTCATATAAAAAACAAACTACATTATATTAATTCATTAATTTATTTTGTTTTTTTTTTCAATTTTTAAAAAGTAAATATCAATTTTGCGTGTTATGTTTGCTATATTTATTTTAGACATTACTATTATTACCTGTAATATCTATTTCTAAAAGATTTTTTATTTTTGTAAATGATAATGACAAATTTTCATATATATTAATAATTGAAATTATTATTATATCTTTATATTTATTCAATTATTTTTTATTAATTTTATTAAATATTATATATTTAAAATACAACTATTTAAAAATATCATTTTAACATAAAATTGTATTCAACTATCAATAATATCTGATCAGTTTTTTATGATAAGTTTATAAAATTTAATAATAATTTATAAGATTGCTGTCAAAAGCCGTGTTTCAATCAAAACTACTGTCTGTTTTGACTTCATAATAATATTTATTATATAAATGTTTTGAGATTTAAATTTCCTGTTTTAACTAAAAATAGTTATTTTTTGTGTAATTAATATAAAATAGTGAAAGAGGATTAAAAATAGTGGAAGTATGAGTCAAATATAATTTAAAATTAGTTTTTGATTACATAACCACATAAAACACACATATTTTATATGTATTATCAAAATTAGAATTATTTTTAAAAAATAATTAATTGTTATTAAAGTCAGGTTTTATATCTCATTATTCCTCTCTTAAAATAAATATATCATTAAACATATGGTTTTGCTATTAATATAACATTTTTTACGGATTACACCATTTATAGTTTAAATTATTTTTGAAATTTCTAAGTGGGAACTTTTTATTATTACAGTAAAAATAATAATTTAAATAAATAACAAGTGTTTGATAATAAAATAAATTAATGTTGTCAATCAAATACTTTGTTTCTTTATATAAAATTTTCTATACAATATACCGTAAATACTACTGTATAGTATAGTATAGTAACTATATATTAAATAAAATATTAAACAAACTTAAACAACAAAATCTATTAGTGTACTCTAAATAATGAGAAAAATTCAATTTATTATTTTGACAATAAATTATTTAATGAGAACTAATTGAAGACATAATTGCAATGACAATACATTGTATTAAATATGAATACATGACTTAATGACTTAATGACTTAATGACTTACCCAGTATTCTGTTGAGCCAATCTGTCATTTGGCAAAATAACAAACAAATCAAAACATTAATCAAATTTTTATTAAATCATTTTCAATGACATTCAAATATATTTATATCTTTTTGTAATGTCATGTCTGACACTCACCGGACAGATCTTCCTTTAACGGTATCAGACTTTCTGACTGTAATCTTGCGATACGATCGGCATATTCTTCCTCAGTCTTCGGCGAATAACAATTAATATCGTTTGTCTCCTCGACAGCCATATTATGGCACTAATAATAATAATAATAATAGTTTTAATCACAAAATATTAATATTAATAATAATAAGTTAAAGTAAATAAGGAAAAACATGACAATGACTTTCAAATATAAATATCAATATATAAATTAATGAATGACTTGATAGAAGTGTTGCTTTTATTATTATTATTTAATGACTTAATTCAATGCTATGAATAAATTATTTTTGTTGTTTTGCTTTTAGTACTATTTATCATTGAAATTGTATAAGTAATTTGTGATTAATTTTATTTAATGACTATTTTTTACCTTCAAGTATGAAAAACGCTGACAAAATAGGACTTTAATTGTTTTAATTAAAGAATAGGTGTCTATAGACTATAGTATAGTGTTTGAGACCTAACTGTTCTAATTAGGGATTAATCTATTTCTTGTTTTTTTCAAAAAATGTTTATAAAATATTTAGATTATATTATATACAATGTATAATATTAAGTATATATCAGTGTGTATAGTATACACTCTATACAATACTTTGTTGACACTTTTTACAACCAATTATATAATTATTTCGTAATATTATAAAATTTATTTAAAATTATAACAAAGTTTAAACATTTAGCTTATTATATAATATAAATGCATATCATGTGAATTGCGTGAAGAAAGTCTTAGTTGTGAAAACTAGAAATTAGGACACAATTTTCAAAGTGGTTTTTAAGAGCAAATGTTCAAACATTAATTAATACTCTATTGTATTGTATGTATTATATATTATCGATATATGTGTTTACTATTTAGTTAGTAGTGTTATAACACATGCCTTTGATATCATACATAAGCTTCAAATATAAACACACAAAACATAGTATTAAAATTTAATATTTAACATAAAATAATATTTAACATAAAATAATATAATTTTATTTGGAATTTATAATTTGTAAAAAATAAGTTAACAACTATTTTGTTAAATCTAAACTTACTTGTAATGCAAAATTCAATGTGTATTGCAATTTGTAAATAGTTTTGTTGGGCACAACCTTTCAAATAAATTGATCCCAAAAAACAACATCAATAATAAACACCCAATAATTGTTAGATTCTTTATAACATTTTGTTATTATTATTAATTTGATAAAAAATAAAAACAATACCCAGATTGCTTAATATTGATTATTTATTATCATTTAATATATTTATAAACTTTATTGATACTATTTATCACTGTATTATAAAACAATGAGTTATTTTATAGTTAAGTCATATTGAAATAAAAATAATTTTAAAAGCGATGATTATATTAATCACATTTATGAAGATAAAAGATTTTTTGAATTGTATTATATTATATCATAGTTTGGGTGATGTCTGTTACGGCAATAATAACAATAAATAAAAGTAAAACAAAAATAATAAAACAAAACGTTGCTCTCATTTATCTCTCATTGAATGTGTCTATCAGTTATTGATGGCTTAAGGGGAGGAAAACACAACAAAAATTAATCGATACATAGATTTTGAATAAATTAATAGTATATTTATAATGTTGAAAATTATGACATATTATCACATATATTGGAAATAACAGCACACATAACACTCTGGCCCTACATTTATATTACCAGCCATTCCTCCCCTAAACAAAACATTTTGTCTCAACAAACATGTGTTAGTTTTTGAATTTATACCATTTATATATTATTTGTATATATATGCTTGAAATACCAGTAATATTACTGAACGGAAAACTAGGAGAGAGAGAGAGAGAGAGAGAGAGAGAGAGAGAGAGAGAGAGAGAGAGAGAGAGAGAGAGAGGAAAGCAATAGATAAAAACTGGGGAACTATTGAAACAGTTAGTGAATGCTGGGATGGGGTCCTCCTCTTATGAGTTTCAACACAAATCTTAAGGAGAGAGCGATACCCTTCCCAATGCATGTAATGTTGTGTATGTAGTATATACTGTACTCTACTTTTCATATTATAACATAAGATTTGTGTTGAGTGTAACATAAATATAGACTTTCATTGAGTATTGAGTTTTTAGCAAATACTACACTAAATATATTTTAAATTGAATACAGAAAACAACTTTTTGTATGTTTATCTTTAAGAAAAATCTATTAATTTTATTTGGGTTTAAGCTAAACATTTTAAGATATGATAAGCAGCTGATAGTATGTTTGATGTTAGGACTGATGTAAGGGCTGGTTGTTTGCCTCCCATTTCATGTTCAATCGTGATCCTTAACTAACATTTGCATTGCACTGACATTAAGGTTAACCCTCTTTTCACTGTTGCATCAAATTAACCACTAATTTAAGTTTTTAATGAATTTAATGTAAGAAAAATAAATACATATTGTATGAAAATTTACAAAAAATTAGTACATAAGTTATGTAACTTAACATTTGTTTTATTAATACTCTCTCTCTCTCTCTCTCTCTCTCTCTCTCTCTCTCTCTCTCTTCAATGAATTGCTATTGATTGAGTAAATTAAATAATAGTTTTTTACTAATGAAACGTGATGTGAGAGGACAGACATATAAATTACACCATATGTTTTTCGTGTGTAAAATGATCCCTATTTTGTGGCACAAAATTTGATTATCTGTTATACAGTCATAGAGTGAGTCATACAATAGTTATAGAGTGAAACTAAAACCAAAATTTTATGTTTAATTTTGCTATCATTAAAATGTTGATTAAACCAAACACTTGCATGTTATCAATGATAACTCATATGACCAGATGTTTGCTAATAAAAATATTGTATAGAAATAGCTTTTATAAAAATTTGCTGTTATTTTCCCAAAGTTGTCGATATCTCGTGTGAACTCTACTCTCAGTTCATTCAATAGCTAAATGTAAACTAAATATTCATTATCTACGATAAAATTGAAATAAATTAATAATTGGTCTATTGAATGACACAATTTAAAAACATTAACTATATTTTAATTATTATATTTTTTCAATATATCTTCGGCCAAACCTAACATTAAGACACTTTGCTTTATATGAAATATAGATTTATTATACTGTACTGTATATATGGCACACACATATCACATTAAAATTGTACTTATATTCAAAACATCAAATTATTTGATTACACGCAATGTGTTGTAATGCCTCAAAAAACACCACTAACCCTGAATACCTTGATTATAGTTTAATTGTTTATTGAGGTACACAAGTATATAATATTAGGCATTCATATCTTGCACTTAATATGATGGATGTTGTCGTACCAAACGGATAATACAGTATAATAATAATATAGTAGTAATATTAGCATTGGGTTAGGGTTTGGGTCATTGTATAACTTAATGAAGGATAACTACATCAACCAAATGAAACTTTTTTGTTCAAATATTTTGTTGCGAACAAAATATTAATACAAACGTTAAAAAATAATTAAAATATTTTATACAAAATATAATCTTTTATATAAATGGTATATAATCTCAAGTGATTTACAAATAATATATTTTTTATATATGATATTTATATGTGTATAAAGCAGTGAATACAATTTTTTCGTATATAAAATCAAAAAATAATTATGTCTTATAAGATCATTAATAAGGAAAATACTGTAAATATATTTTCATTGAAACATAGTTTCTCATAAATATTAACTAAAATATTTTTTAGTTTGTAGCTTTACATTATATATAAGATAAATTACATTGTATAATATATATATTTAATTTCAACATATGTTTGCTATAACTTACCTAAAATTAATGTATTAAATATTAAATTATAATATATATATATATATATATAACAATAGTAGTGAAGGCACTGTTGAGTTATTAAGTTAAATATGTTGTGGTATTTCACCGAAAGTAAGTTTACGTCAAATGATTATTACATTGAGATAATGACATCTCTGTCCACATTAATGACATTTCATGTATTATTCAAATTATTAATATTTTCAGTAGTTTTATTACATTAAGACATGTTTTTATAGCTTGTATGGTATGTATGATCATAGTTAGGGAAACACATAACAAATAACAAGAGACAACTGATGCCAATACCACAAGTGCTGCACAACTGCTCTCTGATGATGCAGTGATGACAATACTGTTAGAGCGTTGGGATCTCTGAGCACTGAATCTCACTTTCAAAATATATATCATAGACGATAGTGTACTACAAATAACTGTCTCGAGTTGAAGGAACTGTAGTGTCGGTGAAGAGTAACATAAATAAACTGAAGATTTTGTTATTATTTATATTTTTGACGAACAGTTATTTGATAATTGACTGAACACTACAAAACATAAGAGCTCTGGTTGTATGGCTCAGGCATTGAGGCATACAATGCATGCGAGTGTCTCACTATGTGTGTGTGTGTCTGTGTCTGTGCACACATTGGAACTGGAGTTTTAACGGTGAGAGCAGAGACACACATCTGATTGCATCGAGTCTTGTATTCTTTGCTTCGTCGGCTCACGAGTTAAGGGAACAGTTGTTTGAGGAAAGAGAGGCTAAGGCGTGGTTAAGCTTTTATGCATTACTATTGACTACAACTAAGCTAAATGTGTGTCTTATCGTGTTTAAGCATTGCATTGTTAACTATACAGCACTGACACCGTTAGCTTTACTATTGTCGCTCCAATGTCTTGGAATACCAGAGCTATTGCTTTAACATTTATATTGTTAACTATGAGGTTGTGATCATATTTGTCTCAACACTCTATCGATGCCCTCTATGTGAGAGTTGGCATACAATGTGATTGATTGGTTAGGTATTGATGATGGAGAGAGTTAGGTTGAGATCTATATTCATAGTGCTAGAGATGGTCTTAATTTAAGTCTACTGTTTTGTGAGCAGATCTGTAGATCAGTTTTACAGCCAATTCAAACTATTCTCCATTTGAAACCATTGACTACTGAGCACTGGTAGAGCACTAGCGTAGTGACAGTAAATTGTGAGGAACGGCAGTCAAATAATACACAAATATGATACAAGTGATGATGAGAAGGGCTGTCTCCACAACTAATACAGTGACTTTACAATTGCTTTTCAGACATACATATATACCAATTGATACACTACTGTACGGCATATAATATCACTGATATCGATGGTTTCACTAGTTCTCAACCAATAATATTAATTGTATTACATATGTGGCGGCTGTCAAACAAGTGATACCATTGCACCAGTTGTTGGATTTACTATTGTATTATACATTCATACAGTCTATTATAACTACTGCTATCTAATAGTTGGTTAAGCTTTGTATAAAAGACTCATTACCTCAAAATAAATTTATTAACAATAATAACTTACTGTCTATTATTTAATCAATTATATAACTATTAATCTATTTGTTGATTATTATATAAATATAGTATGTTATGTGAATCTTAATGTTATGTTATGTTAAGTCATCGAATTGTTTTTCTCATAATCACATCAATACTAACAATAATATAAATACAATGTATTTATCAGAATCAACAAAAAATTAGGAAATATTTTTCGGTATTAATTTATTAAGATGTTCAACAAAACTACATAACAATAAACACTATTATCTCTCATGAATCTCTCTAAGAGGAGAATTTATTTCCATTTAATTGGCTTTTATAATAATAATGGATAAAAATGATATCATAACTGATAACATCATAGACAACAATGAAGAGGATGACAATGAGAGAACTAAGATCTCATTTCCCAATTCAAGTGATGGCAACAACAAGAATCATAAGAAACCATTGACTAAATCCTCAGGTGGTATCAAATCATGTCAGGTATGTATGTATTATAAGCATAATGTATGTAATCTTTTGGGTAAACATTTATTTTAATTATTTTAGTTTTTCGTTTTCTTGCATTTTTTCGTGCAGTAGTTTCTCTCTCTCTCTCTCTCTCTCTCTCTCTCTCTCTCTCTCTCTCTCTCTCTCTCTCTCTCTCTCTGTGTGTGTGTGTGTGTGTGTGTGTATGTGTGTGTTTTACTTTGGTTTTATCACATGAGTTACTGTAATATTTTGAGTACATATAATACAGTATTATATAATAATATTGTTGTAGAATAATTTGTAACAAATCAAATACTGAAATAATATTGTAAAATAAAATGTTTGAATTAAGTTAAAAATAATCTAATTTTATTATATTATTTAAATTATTGGTAGTAATAGTTATTTGTTGGCCTAAAAGCCTTAAACTCAACTAATCGTTTATTTTAGATACAATATATGATAATATACAGTATAACAATACAACGTTTTACATTAATTATAGACATAGAGACAGAATATTCTTATAAAACATAAAAATATTGATCGCATTATAATAACAATAATTTTATTACTATTTATATTATAATAATTTTAATATTAATAAAATACTAGAAATGGGAACAAAATAAGTAAATATTTATTTAAATGTCATATATTAAGTATATATAAAATTAATAATTGATTGCATTTTCATTATATGATATATTTTTATAAATCAACGTTCAGTTGGATTATTTGGTGCATCCATTGGACAGGAATATTGCCGGAATTTTTATACTCACCCTTTTCTTTACATTATTGGCAATAATAAGTGGTGTACCAATAGTTTTATGTCTATTTGTTTTGGTGCCGTTGACTGTCCTCATCAAGCGGTTCAGTGCTTGTGATGTGGTGTCTGATGAAAAATATCAAAAGATAGCACCAATTGATTCATTTTGGCTCAATTCAGGACACATCACACATTGCCTTCTTTATATCGATAAGGGCTTATCCGTCGATCAATTACGGGATGTCATTTCAACACGACTTCTTAGTCGACCAGAGCTCAGCCGATTCAAATCAAAGCTGGTTTATAGAGGCATTTCTCGGACACCTTATTGGAAAATTAGCAACAATTCAGACACATTAGAGGAAAATATTGTTGAAGACGAGCCAATTGTCGATCGAAAGTGTTTACGACAACGACTGATCCAATTGATGTCTCAAACTCTACCATCAGATAAGCCTTTGTGGCAAATCCGCTATGCATTCGCCCAATACTGCAATCAAGTTGTGCTTATCATTCGCGTTCATCAGTCTCTATCGCAGTCAGGTTTAGTCACAATACTCGTACAATACCTGTCCGATACACCGCCTCCACAATCCAACATAAAAGCACGTTTTGGTGGTTCCACGCTATCAATCAATATATTCAGAGCAGTCATCGTAGGTCCGCTCACTTTCTTCTTATGGATCATTTGGGCGTTTACTCGAAGACATAATAATTATCTTAAAAAACATAAAAACAAGTCATTTAAGTCCGTTTATTGGACAACCATTGATTTGCCACGAATTAATCGAGTCAAACAAGTGACCAGAAGGTATGACCGCTATTTTCTCACACATATTTCAATTACAATTTAAAAAAAATATTTTTATTTATTAATTATGTTATTTAACATCATATATAACTTATTTTATTATATTATATATTGATACTATCATATAATACATTTTAACAACTCGTTAACATTTTATTTATACTTTTATTACAATTTTTATTTGTTTATATCGTTTGAATTTATTTTTTAAATCTTCAAACCTTTTTTTCTTTTTAATATTGCAAATGACCTGAAGCTATATTTTTGTTAAAACTATTTTATTAATAAGATTTGAACAATAAGTAACAATAAAATTTTATTAAATTATATAATAATACAATTATTATATAGTACATTGAATGATTTGTTGATATCAACAATATCGGGATCAATACGAGCTTATTTAACTACCGGAGCCAGAATCTTGAACCCACCCGATCTCAATATATCGATGCCAATAGACATTTGTCCAAATAATCACACGGAGTCCAGTCTTGTTGGTGTTAACTATGTTTTAGGTATTAAAACATTTCATTTTTTCATATATCGTTTGATATTTTTTTTAAATTATGTAAACCTATAGAAAGTCAACTTTGAATGACTTCTCATTAAAATTTGAAATTAAATTTTATTTGAATAAATTTTATACAAAATGCTTTTAAAACTAATATATATATTCATTTCAATCTATCCCTTCTCAACAATTTATGAAATCAGTCACATCTCCGATACCAACAAATACTGAAGGTTTGTGTGCATTGAACTCATTTAATATGCATTTTGCTCTCAATTTATTTATATTTAATATTTATTTTTTAAGTTATATGAGTGTATATATATATATATATATATATGTGTGTGTGTGTGTGTGTGAACATATTTTTTGACTATATTTCAAATCATTTAAATAAAATTAAAAAAGAATTGAATATTTATTTAATTAATTAAAAATTTGATGCTTTAAAATATGCTATAAATATATTGAAAATTTTAATTTTTAATTTTAAGGAGCTATACCCCGACTGTGGGAAGTAAGACATCTGATGGAAGAGCTCAAGACATCAGCTGATACAGCCGTTATGTATGGTATGTTGAAAATGAATTAAATGATTAAATAATAGTATGTATTTGTTGACCATTGAAGACCATTGAAATGTTTGTTCCTTATAATAGGTGCACACTATTTATTTAGTCGTTTACTTCCACTATCAATATATAGGTTTTTAGTAAATATAGTGAATAGGAATTCCTCATTATATGTGAGTAATATTAGTGGTCCGGACACTAACCTAAGCATCGGGTCCTACCGTCTCAACAAAGTTTTATATTTCATGTCTGCGCCGTCTTATTGTTCACTTGTATTCAATGTATTTTCATTCAATGGTAAACTCTATGTATCGATTAGCTCGACTTCACAACTCATACCAAGTGCTAAACGATTGGCTAAACTTTTCAAAGCACAGCTCAACCGACTGTCGGGTTTGTTAAGTCGTCGAAGAGTTCCGGGAGAGTCAAGACGTCGTCGAAAGAGTCACATTCCATACGAATCACCGCTTTATATCAACAATCCATCGCCCGATGGTGTCATCGACTTAACCAACAAATTACATGAAGTACAATACGAATTGCATAAATTGTCTGAACAGTTCAGTTCAGGTGAACCAACTTTCATCAAAAGATATGAAGAACTCAAAGATGAATTCACAGGTCTTTTGTTTGAAATGAGAAGAAGAAAGTCGATTGCAGACAAAGGCACTAATATTCTCATTAATATTGAGGTTTGATTACTGATTTAAATTACCGGTAATTATTGATTTCAAATACTATAATAATCTATGATTTAGGACGAAGACGATGACGACAACGACGGCGAACTACGCCCACCACCGCCCCGACGGTTCTCAGTTGTCAGTTATGGTCGCAGAGCGAGTGCTAGCTTTGTCTCATCGCTGCCAACTTCATCATCTCGAGTGACGCCACCAATTCTGTCCCGTCGAGCGATGGCCACTTCACCGGAACCGCCGAGTAGTCCTGAGGTTGCGTTCAAAAGTGAAACTGAATGTTAATGTTGTTAATTCAATTGATTTTTTAATAAGTGATACTAATTATATGTCAGTCATTTAAACGTCTAATAATAACTCTATTTGCAATTAAACACATATTTTTTATTAATTTTGATCAAAAACACAAATGTATTTGTTATTTAAATTAATTCTTAATAATTATTGTACAAATTAATATTAATATATATATAACTTAAATATTTAACAATTAAAATATTTTGATGTCGAATAAATATTACAAAAAACGTTATTGTTATAAATTGTATACATAATTGATTCACTTAATAATTATCATAATATAAATTTAATGTTCAAATATAAATAGCACTCTTATGGCAAAAAAACCGTTTTCTAATTTCCTTATAATAAGCCTTCATTTGATGTGCATATTATAGGGGAAAATAAAATCATTACAAGTAATAATAATAATATTAATAAATAGCTAACATATAATCAATAAATAAGATCTATCAATAAAAATACATTATAATAATGATGTTGAGCCATCAAAATGATGAAACGGTAGGTTTAGTTCAACATAGTGTGCTTGTCGTAGATGTTCTTACGCTGTTCCTGAACCTGTTTCTTCCATCTGGTCTGTTGCTGACCCACTCTATTCAGCATATTCTTGGGCGGCGGTCCTCCAGAACTCGTTGGACTTCTAAATGACATTAAATAAAAACTCATCAAAAATTCAATTTTCGATAATACTGTAATAAAAATAATCATAATGATAATAATAATTTTTATCATAACAATTACGTTATTGCAGTTATTTATACATTTGACTTAATAATAATAATATATATCTAATAATAAATTCTGGAAAAAATAAGTCATTGAAACAGAATAATGACTTTTCTATTGCTTAATAATATTGACAATCATTTAATATAACGATCAGCTTATTATTATAAGTGATAAATTGTAAAATAATTTAATATTAATAGTAATAACAGTAATAATAGTAATTGTTTTATTAGTCTCACATGACAGGAGTGGTGGCGGCTCTCCTTCGGGTCACACCATCGCTGTCCGACACTATCTGTTCATCCATTGACACCTCTTCGTCGATGTGTTGTTCATAATTACGAGTGACAGCTGTTAATGATAGACTCATATAATTAATTGATTCATTTACTCAACATTTTCATTATTTATTACAAGTTATTATTCAAACAAATTTCGTAATTTAATTATAAAGTTAAACATAATATCATATAATTAATTATTAACTAAAACTAAATATCATAAATCAATTTGGACTACAAATTATACATATAGTACATGTAGTACTGTATATGAATAACCAAAATATATTGTATATAAATGTAAAGCTATTATAAATTAAATATCAAACTTTTTAATGCATTAAAAATATTTTCAAAACTAAATAAATTTATAAAAAATATTTTTAAATAAGTTTTATTTTATATTATAAAATGATATGAAAAATGTTTAAAAATGTTGACAAAAATAACTTTAAATAATGAAATCATTAATTTAATAAAAATAATTAAGTATTGCTTACAATGTTTGTGAATCAATGGATCCAATAGTGACAAGAAGGCCATATAGACGACGAGGAATGAGATGATACCGATGATGAATATGACGACAAATCTGATGGTCGATGTATTTCTTGATTCATACTTACATTCACAACGCGGACAAAACTCTTTGGCCTTGTCCTGCATTGTTGCGTCCAATTGCGGTAATACAACGTAATCACAATTACATCGATTCGGACTAATGTTCTTAATATAAAGTTTTCGGTTCGACGCCTGAGACCCGTTGTTGACCACTCCGGTCGACGGACACACACACTTGCATCGGAAGTCTTCGTATTCACACAAACATGAAGACAACATCACCGCTAATACGACAATCACTCTGAATGAGGTCATCGACAACTCAGACACCACACAACATGTCTTTGTTTCCGACATTATGTCCACTAATTGAAAGCAATTATTAATAATTTAATTATTGTCTTAAAGTAAACACAAACCAAATGATTGTTTAGTCAAACACTTGACTGACATTTAATTTGTTCCCTAAATGTGATGATTGTATGCAATTGTATACAAATTCTATATTATTTTCATTCATTTAATAGACACTATCGTTCAATAAGCGTAACGTTGTATGCGAGCGACTCATTAATTAAATAGGAGTTTTGTGACAACAATTGTATTGCGTTTTTGATATTAATAACACAAATCATACAAATATAACGTTATATTATTGTATTAAATGCGACAATAATTCCATCTATTGTTCAAAAATAACACATAATTTCGAACTTTTATTCGAACTTTTAATATAATAATTGAATACATAGTTAGTGTTGATTACTGACTGAACTGTGAGTCATATATACTGAAGAAAGATATGTAAAAAACAATTGTTTAAAACAATAGTGTTTTAAATGTCATGTTATTTGTCATCAACTGATTGATTGACTGATCCCAAGACATCTGTGACCACAATGACAGACAATAAACTCAACGATCAGTTTTTTAATGTAAAATGTGTTGAATTGAACAACGAGTTGATGATTGGTGTGACAGCACTACACCTATCGGTGATGAAGAATGAGATGAATCAAACCAAACGATTGTTGAGATCCGGCGCTGATATCAATCTTAAGACTGGATCAGTGTCTACAAAGACGAGTCAAAAAATGATGAAAGAGTTGTCACTCGAAGGACACAATATTATCCGATACTCACCGTTACATTTGGCTGTTATTATAGGTTCGCAACCAATGATTCAATTACTTATTGACCGCAAAGCAGACATCGAGGCCACTGACCATAACTGGTTGCGACCGATTGAACTAAGTGTGAGTCTAAAGAAGCCGAAAGTGACCGCTTTGCTCATCAAAAATAATGCTCAATACAAGAGTTCATACTATAATCACTGGCCACTACTGTTCCGAGCAATTGATTCACAGGACCGCCATTTGGTTGCATTGTTTGGCCGATTACAGACACGAAGTCTTTACTATAAGAACGAGACACCCATTGAATACGCGATGAAAGTATTTCCCGAATGTGTGACAATTCTTATTGATTTTGGACGACAATTGCATTTTCCGAATGACACGACTGGAGAAACACCGCTTCACTTAGCAGTTCGTTACAAACGTGACGATTGGGTGAAAGAGCTTTGCTATAATACATGTAACCCGAATGTGGCCAACAATGATGGCGATCGTCCGCTACATTTAGCCGTCAAATTTAGATGCGACTCTCAAATGCTATTAATATTACTCGGTTTCGGTGCGGATCCAAACTTCAGAAATTATTGCAATCATACAGCACTGAGTTTGGCCATCGAGTTGAACAACACTGAAGCCATTAGTTTGTTATTAAGATATCGAAGCAATTGGTCGCCACTAAAGTCAAAATTGTCTGAATTGGAGCATTCAATTAGATTCCATTATTTTAATATTACTTTTGATATACTGAAGACTATTAATCAAAAGATAAACAAACTCTTTGAAGACGAACCGCTCATTTGGTTCTTTCTTAAGCATTGTGTTAACGCTGTTGACAACGAAATTATGGTAAATATCATTAAAAGAATAATTGAAATGACAGACGATATCAATACTTTGCATTGTATTTGGGGAACACCTCTTCATTATTTAATTTACGCCAACATTTGTAAACCTAATACTCTGTATTTGAAATTATTCAAAGAGTTGATGGCATCACAAAAGTGTGACATAAATCAAAATTTTAAACCAAAGGATGCCATTTATAATGGAGAGACTGTAGAAGTAGACAGAATTATGGCGAGTGGTTCACCACTTTCTTTTGCATTGCAAATGAATAAATGCGGTGACTTTGCTGTCTATCTGATCAAAATGGGAGCTAATTATGAAGATATTGATTGGGAGAACATCTACTTCGCTCCGGACAACACAATGGCATTCAAAATGTTAATAACAATGAACTGCAAATTCCCAAAAAATTTTAGTACTTATTCTGATCCGCGTCACGACGAGTCCGTACCCGACGATGAATATGATTATTATATTGAAATGTTTGATAAATTTATCAAATGGATGAATAAACGGCTTTCTAAACCATTGACACTAAAAGAAATAACTCGTAATTTTATACGTAAACAATTTGAGACCGAAAAGTGTCGACAACTTATGACAAACAGTGATCGACTGTTTGCAAACCAATTACCAAAATCATTGATAAATTATCTCAAGTTTTTTAATGACGATATAAACTAATTATATAAATTGTCAACACTTTTATAATTATTTCATATCATTTTAATAAATATCATTTGGTTTTTTAATTTTTTCTACTAATTTTAATTATAATTAATGTTCATAATTGTAAAAAGTATTGATTTTTTATGATATTTATCAATACTGTATGCATTCTTCATATTATAAATCTATTATTATTTATTTTAATACAATATATTATGTAAATTATATTATTATACTTAATTTATAATAAAAACTGTTTGTTTGATTTTATGAAAATATTTGTATCATTTTTAATATATTAATATTAAATTAATTAATAATTTAATATATTAAGTACGGTATTTAACGGCAATTTATTTAATACTTATTGAATCCGTTATGTGTCAGCTTAACAATCAATATACAGTATTTACAATAAATAGCAATCAATAAAATAGATTATAATTATAGTACTAATTTGTTATATTGTAGTCAATTATTACATAGTATTTAAGTAATATACAGTATTATAAAAATATAATTAATTTTTTAAACTGTTTGAATAGCAATTTGTTTTCAAAATCTAATTATAACTTATAAATCAGTAATTGATGTAACTATTAATTAACAAGTCGTTGGCATTGTTTACGGAAATATTTATATAATTATATATAAACTAATGATAAATACTGTATATGAGAAACCATGAAATATAATAATGTATTAAAAAAATAATATTTTCCGGTCTTTTGAAAAAAATATTTGGTAAGAATTATGTTTACAAAGATATGTCTTTTATAGAGATTTCACTAATGATTTGAGTTTTAAAAAGATTTGATATTTTCAACAAAACAAGTGATCGTTGAGATTATGATATGTTTAGCATATTTAGACAAAACAATAAACATTTTCTTAATCTATTATATTATCTAAATTTTATATTGCATAATATATCACTTAAATTTTCGTAAATATAGTAATTTTATAATTTTATTTATTTTTTTTTGTACATTTTAAATATATTGAAATTTTTACAAGTTTATACTAATTTTAATTAGTTTGAAGTATAACTTATATTTTTTTAAAAATATATATTGGATATATTTGTGATAATTTAATTATTTTTTATTTGTTGCATATTTTTCAATTTCTATTTTATGGATTGCTTTTCAATTATTTTCTTTTTAATTTTTATTTTATAAAAATGATATTTATGTACCAAAAAGTGTGAGCAATTGTTAAAAGTGTATCCAAAAGCTAATCAATTAAATTGGATGTTATGTATAGTACAGTATTTGAATACATTTAGGCCACAAATGTTTTCCTCAGTTCTACTGTTTTAGACTAATATTTATAAAGTTTTTTGAAGATATATTTGAATTGAAATGAGAAATATTAGTCATATTTTAAAGATTAAGACGTGTTTCCCACGATCTGACGGTGCGATTCAACTTATGGTTAAGCCGTCAACTGGTTTGCAGGCGGAGACCATTGAGACCTTAATTTGTGATTCATATATGACTTTCTGTTTGAGCCCACAGTCTATATGGCAAACAGGTATATGACCTTAACATCACTGCCCATATCTCTCTTATCTATAAAAAACATAAATCATTTTTAAGCAAATGTCATAAATATTCAAAAGTTTTACTAAATATGTTATATAAAAGAAACAATTTGTTTACAACAAGAAAAGTGAAATATGTTTTTTGTAAATAAAAAAAATCTTATGTAATGTCATTCTTAAGAATTGTATGTTATTTACTAATAAAATACAGATTCAAATACATGTATAATAAATAATATAAATAGATATAGTATTAGGAATTTATGTTATCTCTAAAAACAAGTTGTCTATTGAAACGGTTGTCAAAAGGCAAAACAAAATAGTCTGGATTATTTTATCAATACATAATATATCTCACATTTTTTGACATATGCTAACTTATTATTTTATCCATAAACGTTATTTAAAACATTTTTAAAAACATATACAGTATATACCGTATAATAGTTATATATATGATATACTATAGATATGAACATAAATATTAATAATTAATATTACATAATAGCATACAGTATATAGCAATAAATATCTCATTATAGGCAAGAAATTGCAAGAATCCAGAGTTGAATAACTATTACAGTATTGTTGAGATTTAGCTATAATTGTGTGATATTGAGAGATAGATAGAAATTGTGTGATAAAAAAACATTCATTAACTACTGTATGACTTTTACTATTTGGTTATTTTTATATATAGTTGTCATAAATGAGTTGCAATTATTATAGCGACAAAACCCTACATTCATTGATGTACTTCAATAATAGTCTTACATTGCATTCAAATCTTTGTGTCAATAATTTCTTTTCTTTGCTTTAATTTACTGTCTCTTCTTCTTACTGTTCATTCTTTACCAAAAATCTTCTCAAAAAGTAAAATCAATAACTTATAGATTCAGTTATTTTGATATAATAGAAGAGAGAGAGAGAGAGAGAGAGAGAGAGAGAGAGAGAGAGAGAGAGAGAGAGAGTATAGGATAACATAGTTATGTGTTGTTATATAAAATTATGTCACTTTTGTCTCTTGTGTTTTATATTTTCATACGACAAATAAATATTGTAAATTGAAAATATAAAAAACAAACAAAACAATCATATAATAACAATATATATATATAATATTTCTTTACATTGTTTACGAACTTTAACATAATAATCTATTTTTATTTCTTAGTTTAAAATAAATGTTTATAACATTCAATTAAAAATATAATATACTATTACCTCTTACTCTATGATAAATATAAGTTATATATATTGTAAGTATAGTAATTATAGTATTACACAATACATATATTTATTATTAATTTTATCAATTGACTAGAGTAAGTATTAAAAAAAATAATTACAGAAATGAATGCACTAAAATATAATTTTTTATATAAGTTTAACCAAAATTTTCTTATTAATAAAATGTAAAATTTTTAGTTACTAATTTATTGTAAAAATGTTAAAATTGATTAAATTTTTATAAAACTATATTTGATTATTTATGAGTTATCAAAAACTTTTAAAAAACTAATAATTGTTTAATTGTAAACTACAGTAAGTTATGATATAAATGAATATATCATGAATTGATGTATAGTTTGTTAGCCATTAACTCATTGTTTGGATAGTAGGGTTGGTGTGATGTCTGAATCTCCACTTTGAAGTTCATAGAAAAATCGGGTGCCATTGTATGGGTGTTCACTATAACAGACGCCGTCATCAAAAAATGTCGGATGCATTACCTCTGGAATCCATTGCAGACTTGGATCACATTTCATTTGATTGTCTATTGTTGTGTCCATTAATATTAGTCAAGCAAAAGACATTTGAATAGATAATAAATTTTTGCATTAATTTTTGTTAAATATTACAACAGATTTTCAAAACTTACTGTCGACCCATAGTTCGTGCAATTGATGCCAAACATTGACAAAACACTTGTAGTTTAAAGTTTTCAATGAATTGCTGTCGAGTCTTAGTTTTGTGAGAGAAGGCATTCCCGTGAAAAAGTCTTCTTCAATATTAGTGATCTGATTATAGCTTAAGTCAATGGACCAGAGCTGAGGTAGTGTTTGTGAAAACCACTGTCTATTAAGTTGTTTAATGTTATTATAAGCCAATGAAATCATTTTCAAATTTACCCATTTGTTAATAACATTGCTATTTATTGACTCGATTTGACAGTTTATAAGAGAAAATGTTATAATTTCTTTGCTAATATCAGATTCGTCTTTATTAACATAATTTACATATATTTTGGAACTAATGAATGAATCCCAACACTTCATATAGAAATCAGTTAATCGGAACAGTTGTCTAAACACTGGGCCCCAGTTTTTATCATTTTTAACATATACATCAATCAACTTTATTGATAGCAATGAGTCTTTTTTATTAATAATATCATATATTGTATTAATTGACATCAGGTTTAATGTTAAATGACTTAATTTTGAGATATCATTCAAATATTGTTCAATATTTTCAAGTCTTTGTAAACAATTTTGTTCGTCACACTCTTCAACCATAGATCCATCACATCTGATCTCTAAGATTTTGGTTTTTTAATATATGAGATAAAAATAAACATAAATTATCTATTTATTATTTAAACAATTAAATATAACAATTTTATATTATTTAATAAATAAAAAGAGTAAATAATTAAATAGTATAATTGTATTTATGTGTTTTATAAGCTTTATAAAGCAAAATTAAAAACACTATTATCACAATTAAGATTGAATTTAGTTTTTAAAGTTAAAGTAATTCATAATTAATTTAACATTGTATATCATTTTTCCAAAAAATATTTTGTCATGTAAACAACTACTGTATCTAAACAATTGTATTGTAAATTATAACCATTGTTCTGATAATAATAAATTAAAAAGTTTTTATTTTTCCAAAATTTATTTAATTTAGACAATGTATTCAAGGATTTCTAAGTTTTTAAAAAGTCATTTTAGTTGCGATAAAAATAAACCATTTATTCTTTACTTAATAATAAATGTTTACAGACCATCAAAATATTATTTTTATACTTTAAATCATATAAAAAAAATTAACTGTTGGCCACTCCCTATCTTAAACTATCTCTTTAGAAATATACATATTATTATATTTGAAGAGATTTTTTATTTGATGCATGACTTTCAACATTATTTTATAATTTTCAATATATTAAAGTTATTATTTAAATAAACATACCTTCAATGGTTTGACCGACAGTGCATTCGTAGCAATAATTAGGGCATTTAGTTTGTTGTGTAGACTCTATGTAAACCAATAGACATATAATTGTGTAATAATTATAATAACTACACATTTTTAGTGAATATAATTAAATTATGCCAAATAAAATTTTGATTTAAAAATTAAATTTAATGCTACAATTTTTTCTAAAAAATTTTATGACTTAATTTTAAAATATTTTCAAAACAATATTAATATTTATGAAAATCACAATCTATTTCTCTTCCTATTTATTTTGAAGACCTCAAGTAATGTCTTACGCGATATTTCTCAGCAAATGTGACATTAAATATATATATATATCTTAAATATATTACTTATGTATATCAGAAGTTCACACAAGACTTTTTTTGAAAACAGTTATCTAATTATGTTTAGACCATTGACTGTATATTTACATCAATTAAATAAGTTATGCCTGACGAGTCAATTTCACATATTATATTATACTATATTAAAGTATTTGTAAAATGTTTTTTAGCAGCAAATATTAATAATAATTATTTATTAAAATAAAATATCTAATACTGACAACATATGTTTGTTAAATTAATTTTTGTATTTTTTTCGAGAGTTTATCAAATGGTTTATAAGTTTATGTTCAATAAAATTGATAACAATCTATTATTTCTAATTAAATATAAAAATATAGACATAATTTGATCGTAAAAGATATTGCTAGTATAATACTTAATCACATATAATACTGTATATTGTTATAATAATAGAAATAAATATTTTATTCATAATAAAATCAATAAATAACAAATACTGTGAGTATAAATCCAATAGAGAGCTAAGCAAACATTAAAAAACAAAAATTGTTTTATTAAAAAATTATATCTTTTACCACATAATAATCTCATATGTAAATTAAGTAAAACTATAAGCAATCAAATCAGTCTAATCCAATAAAATTGAAGGGCAACTTTGATTTAAAAAAATAAATTATAATTTTTATAAAACTATTTTTCATGTAGTTATTTCGTGGATAATACATGTACTCAAAACAAATTATTGTTATTTTTAAATCACGAAATTTATCAATTTCAGACATAACAAATATTAGCATTTATAATATAAATTTTATATTATGTTAGACTTACACTAAAAATAACAACATAATTTACATATAATATAATCATTTAATAATTTTTTCTAAAAAATAAATATTTAATTTTATTAATTTTAATCGTAAATATAAATTTATCATTTAAAGAAAAATAAATATAATCAATTTATTTACAATAATAATTATTAAATTTTTATTTATTGTTTATTTTTTAATAACATTACATTGATAGATTATTAATATTTAATGTGTACAGAATTTTTAAAAATTATAAAATTCATTAACAAAATATTATATTTTAAACAATATTTAATTAACTTGTGATCAATGTTGTAAATAAAAAAATATTTTATTAATAAAATAAAATTAATAAAAAAGTAATTATTTAAACTTATTTATATTTTGTGATATTTGTTGGCACATTGCATTAAATGAGATTTTATTACTTTAAATAACTATTATTTATTATTATTTAATGTTTTTGTGATGTTATTTAAAAATCATGACATTTTAAAAAAATAATGATTGCAATAGATTTTTATTTAGCTCAAGGATTACCAATAAAGACATGAGATTTTGAAATACATATATCGCAGGGATTTCTGAAAGCAAAAGGTTTTTTAAAAAGGTTTTCTTAAATCTTAGATTACTATACTATATATTGTTATGTTATGTCGTGAGAAATAATTACATGTATTTTGATCTATAACTGACAAATATATCATAAATTTTCTTATAAATAAAAATAAAACACTTTTAAATAATAAAAATAATTATAATATTTCTAAGTTTTGTAAACAATTTTTAAACAAAGTATAAATAAAATGATTAAAATTTTTGTCAACATAATAAATGATTAGAAAGTAATTATAGTTTAATACAATTTATAAAGGCTTTAGTTATTTATTATTAAGTATAGACATAATAAATTGCAATTGAAACTTATTTAATGTCATATTAAGAAAAAAAGTTTAAGTCCTTTTTATTAATGTAAAATACCTTAAAGTTAAAAAATGAGATTTTCAAATAAAGTTATAAATGAAAGCATAAACAACATGAAAACATAATTGAATTTAAAGGTTGTTTTCACTAAATTAGATTGAAAGTCATTGAAACCTGAAAACAATAGGACTTTAATTATAGGAGTATTTTAATAGTAGGATAGGGATGAAAACTAGAAAAAATATGGTAATTATTTTCAAATATATATATTCATATATTTATAATACAATATATATGCATATCATAGGCATACAGATCAGTCAAGGTTTAGCTGACTAAACAAAGTAACAATAGTTTACATTACAAGATATCTGTTTTCATGTAATTAGAGTATGTAATGAATATTAAATAGGTTTAACATTTTATTGACAATATGATTGACAACACATAACGTGTACTATATTTGCTTCACATAGCTTTCACTAAAAAATATGTCTCGATATTGGATTTAATAATAAATTTAATATAATTAAAATATGTTTAGAGTGTTGATTGACTTTAACATTAGCATTGATTATCTATTATCCTATAGAGATGTATTGCTCATAGATTCAGATGAAATTGTCGATACACTGGTAGAAGTGGTCGGTGTGACTGATGGTGTACTGCTGTGGTATTGATAGTGATTGTATGGCACAGTACTGGATAATGAATAAAGTTTGTCGTAATCACTAACTTCAACATTAGTTATGTGTTGGAAAAGACAGGGAGAAGAGATATCACACTTTTTCGGTAATTTATATATCGTGGAGTTGGATGTGCTCACAGACTTCTTGAGAAAATTTAATTTTTTGCCCGACTTTTTAGGTCCGGTCAGTGCTATATTTAACGGATCAGCTGTCAGTGTTTCGATGTGTTCGTGGAACTGATTGGCCGCATAGGGAGAGTCAAAGCTAAGTCCAGCCATTCTTCGGTGATCACATGACAAGTATAGTGTATGAAAGCACGGGTGATGTGCAGAATAATCGCTCAAATTATCGATTATGTCTTTCCATAACACAAAACCCGTTCCCTTTTCAGCCAAACAGATCTGTAGTTGTCTTTTGTCACGAGCTCTAGTCTCTCCCTTATCAAAGATAATCACCGGAACACCTGTTCTCGAGAGTTCCCACTCATGTATTCGGGGTTTTGAATTGCGGCCGCCGTTAATGAGATCTGTTTTAGTAAAATACAGATTTACGAGACAACGGCCTACATATACATGTGTTTTATGGGCGCGAAAAAAGTTTTCAATTTGTGAGCTCTCACTTTCACTCAAGAGGTTTGTTGTTTCATATGTGGGTGCAGTCGTCAGATTACCCAACGATTTGGATGATCTAAGAGCTGTTTGATGGTAATGACTGGATTGGATTCTCATGTTTTGGTTATTATTATTATTGTGATAATACACAGGTGTGTCATATTTGTCGTTGAAATGTGATATCATGGCCTTCCTCAGGACAGTTGGCTCGTCGTAATCACATTTAATATTTGTATTCATTTTTAAAAGAAATATTTATTAAAATCACTCATTAAATCATTAAATTATTAGATTTAGCAAAATATTTGTTGTAATTTCCGGAGATTATTCTCTCTGATCACTTGTACGTCACGTTTCTGTCACAACAGGGATGTAATAGTTGATGATCTCTAAGAAAATAGGATATAAAATACAACACATAAATTAGTATATAATGATAGATACAAACAAGTCATAAATCATATTTAATAATAAGGTTTAAATAACTTTTTTTGTATTGTCTAGTAATATGATCTCAAGTTTTATAAAGCATTTTAAAAATATTTAAAAGTGAAAGTATATTTCCATAAAAAGGATTAGTTTTATTAAAATTTATAAATTTGTTATCAAATTTTATGATACCAAAAAATCGTGAGTGCAATAACTGGTTGCCCAACAAATATAATACTATATACCAGTAAAATATATTCAAATAAAACGACTGCATATTCAAATTTATATTTCAAAAAATCCTCAACAGATAATATCTAAATATAGATAAATATCTTAGTTTAACTAAACATAACATAAAAATATAAAGATAAAAAATAACACAACATATAAAAATTTATAGCAAAAAAATACAAAATAACAACAAAAATTTTAAAAAAATTTCCAAATATGAATAATATATTATCTATTACAAGGAAATTGACACAAAAAGTGAATCATTCTATTATTAAATAACTAATTCAATGAAATACCTGTATTATTGTCACTAATATTAAATAAAAAATTATTTTATTATAATACAATGATGTTATTTTTAATTGTTGTATTTTTTACTTTTTTAATACTTTATTATTTTACATAACTTTTGTATCACGACTTAAAACATAACAAACAAATCAATTAAATAGTAATCATCATATCATAGAATATGTTAGCAATTAAAATAGTTATAATAATTAATAAATATAATTTATAATTGCAATATAAAGATAATTCAAGGATATTGTTATTAAACTAATTATTTATAAAATTGAATCAAATATTCTAAACATGAGTTAGTATTAGTAGTTAACTATGTATTTTCATCCACATTATTTATCAATCATATTTAATAAGATTTATTTTTTAAACGTGAAATTCATTGATGCAATTCAGTTATTAATTTGTTGCCTTATTATTAAAATACTATTTAATCTATTTTGTTGTTAAAAATACAAATTTTTAATACATTAGCCGTCAGTCAAAATGTAAGTCACATTAACTACTAGTCGTGTCAGTGGTTGTGATGGTGTGGTGTCAGTGGTCACGGATGAGGTGTCTGACACCGGAAGGAACTCCAATGGCGTACAAAACGCAACACAAAACATACTTTTTATCTATTTATCTCAACTCCTATTCTACTCTATTATTGTTTAATATTATTATTATAGATGAGTATATTTTTATGATCTCCAGCAAAATTTTTTAATAATATATAAAATTGTTTTAATATAAATAGAAATACTTAAATGACTTATTGTATTGTTTGTAATGAGTTTTTAGAACTTACATAACTATATACTATAAAATGATTGATATCTCACAAAAAATGACTAAATTATTGGTTAAAGTATTATAATAAATGAATACTAAAAATAATAGCACTTTTGCTGAACTGACGACAATATCTTAAACTAAAACTAAACACCAACTGAGCTCTCAGTCGACGACTCTTTCGTTTTATTTTATAACAAACTATCGCTTTTCGCACAAACAATCTTTAGTTATTTGCCGATTGAAAACAAATAAATAATAAAAAATTATAAAACTTTTTACAATACAAACCATTCATTTTGTAAAAAAGGTAATTCTCATAAAAACATAGACAAAGTGTACTCAACTTTTTATTTGCAATGTATTTATTGCTTCAACTTTTTTTGTTATCATTAAATACAATCACATCTCACGACACAATAAAAAATTACTTTAATTTTTTTCCCACTTTAAAGTCTTTATCAATTTTATAAAATAATTGAAAACTTATCATTTTGTAGTTTAATCTTAGCATTATATCTAAATTTATACAATGTCTGACAAATATATTTTATTTTAAGTAATAAAAATCAATTTTAAATCGATGAACGCTTATAAAACATCCCACACATTAACACTCATTTATTATTATTTATATTTATAAATATAATAATTATAATTGGTTTGTTTCAGACAATATTGTTTGGCATAAAAATACACAAAATTAATTAAATGTTGACAATTATTTGTATTTTTAAATGAATTAATTTAGTATAAAACAAACAATTTAGCGTTTTATGTAAATCAAGTGAATAATGTAAACTACAAGTCATTTATGTAGTAATTCAGTGTAATTAAGTATTAATTATTTAAAATTAAATAATACTATCAAATATTTTTCGATGTAATTAATCAAATAAGGTTAGTAATAATAAAATATTTTGAAATGTTTGAAGTTATAAATTTAGATCAAAGTATAAAAATTGAAATTAAATTGTTTTGAAATCTTTTGCCTTATTTTTATTGTAAAAGTATCGGCAGTTTAAATAATAACTGACAGTAAAATATAACATTAGTATGTTTTTATAAAAGCAATTACTTTACTTAAAAGTTTCATCTCTTAATGGTTTATTGTATTATTATATGAGAGGCGGTTATCATGTTTATGGTGACTGGTGTGTGATCTGCAATAGACTGCAAGTGAGGTCAGGGCTAATATATAATGAATTTATGTGTGACTTCATTATATTACATGGATTTTCATTTAAAAATTCAAATACTCTTTAACTCTTGAAATCCCACCTTTGAATCTCAAAACAACTAAATACTAGACATTCCTATGCTATGAGTTGGACAACCATTTGAAAATCACATGCAATTGTAATGATGACAGTCATGCAATAGTTGGCAATCAAATATACAGTACCAGTATCTCAAAGTGCTGTTTGCAAACCATTATATTATATAGTATTATGTATTGTAAAGTAGGGTTAATAAAGAATACAATAAAATACAATATAATAATAATTTCAATGACTTTTCTAGTTTTAATCTTTTGCTCAAAAATACAATATTATAAACCAATGTTTCGGCTGAACTCTCTTTTTAAGTCACTTTTTTCATTCATATAATTTATATTAAAATCACGCAACTCTTCAGTGTTTTTTATGAGTTATATTATTAGTTTTATAGCCACTGAATATATTTACTTTTTTTATTAATTACATCATCGTTTGTATTGCCAATTGTGTGAAAGATCATAAATTATGGGCTTATGTTTTACTGAGAAAAATCATCAAAAAATAAAATAGGGAGAGTTTGAATAAATATTTTATTAGTGTTTACCTCATAGTGTGTCAAAATAGCAATTGTTTAATACATGTGAAATTTCCAGACATATAGTATACAATTATACAATTTTTTATTAATATAAATTTCAAGGATAATATTGTATAACATATTGACTACATTTTTTATTTATCATATAAGTGCTAATAAATATATACTCATACAAAACATTTTAAAAGTGTGAAAAACTATTTTGTTTAAATATAATAATAGTTTACTATGTTATTGATAAACAGTAAAAACAATTTTAAATTATTCAATTTTGTACTTTTCAAACCTCAAATTTGTATAATAACTTAATAAAAAATAATTTATTGTAAATACTTACAAATACTTAATTAATATGCAAAATTATCAATAATTTAATTAAGTCAGTTAAATACTATTACATTATTTTTTATTAAATAGTTTAAAACTAAAAATAACTTCAAATAAATAATTGTAATATATGTAAGATATAATATATGTTAGTAAAACTGTCAAATAATAAAGTTTTACTTAAATTGAAAAGTTTTATAGTTTCTTTATAATTAAAAAATAATGTGAAACTAAAATTAAATAATTATTCTAATTTTCAAAAATTAATACTTGTTTAGCTATTATAATAATATATTTCTAAATAATAATTAAATTTTAAATATTATTATTATTACTATTAAAACATAAAATATACATAATTGATTTTATTTATTGTTGTGATTATTATATTATAATATCATAATGAAATTTTCATATAAAAAATAATTAAATTTTAGTTATAATTTATTGTTGTCCTATTTAACAATCATTCATATATTCATTCACTTATATGTGAAATATAGTGTATTTATCAACTGTTAACTCATGTTACGTGTATTTGTTGTTAGACTTACATAAGTATATAATAATAACAAATAATAATAAAACTACAAAATATCTCTGGATTTCATTTATCGTCAAAATAAGGAAAACTTTTCAACAAATGTCTGAACAGAGGATTATATAGAAAATTAATGAATGAATGTATTATTTCTCTCATTCATTGACTCAAATAAAAAGTTTTATCACGAAATTATAATTTAATTTTTTTCAAAAAACCACCGAATCTTTTTTATTTATAAAATAACAAAATTAAAAAAACATAAAAATTGTTTTTTTAGTCAAATATTAATCAAATATCTAACTAATACTGTAAATAATATACAATTTTATTGTTGTGCTTAATTACAAAAGACACCCAAAAAGCACTTTCATTTATTTAACTTTTTACAAAAATTTATATTTTGTTATAAATTAAAGAGAATATACAATAAAAAATTATTTTTTCTATACATTGTCTGTAATGTATTTTATTTTTTATGTATTTAAAAATTATATAGTATTCAAACTATAAATATATTGCTATTATATCAAAATATTTTTTTTATATAAGTTTTATATGAATTATTATACTATATATATATTATATGAGACAATAATTTAAACTTTTTTATTAATATATTAATGGACAAAATAACATAAATATGTACTTAAAATTGTTGAGAAGTTTAATATCAATAACGTTTTATATTATTTTTGTGTGTATAATATTATATCATAAATAGGTTTCTTCCGCATAATTTTATTAAACCCATTTTTGCTGATGTTTTTTATCTCAATAATAAAAGATATGTTTTGGCGCACGACTTGCTGGTAATTATCGTCTCATATAATTAATGATATATTTTGCAAGATTTAATTGACTACTTTTATTTATAATATCAATAATAAACAAAATATTTTTTTAAGTTAAAAACATTTTTTATAAAATGATTTAATATAGATATCTAATAAATCAATT